TCGAGGCTGCTTCTCATGACGGCACCTTCGATATTGAGACAGCTGCCATGCTCGTCGCCGATTTCCAGCACAAGGCCGCGGCCGGCGCGCGCTCTGGAGGCAGCCCTTCGATGCCCTACTCGCCGCATGCCATGGAGACCACCGTCACGTATCCTTCAGGTGCCATCCCTGTGCCTCAATGGGAGAGCTTCATATCGCAGTCGTCCGAAGCCAAGGCACATTCCATCGCATCATCGGCATCTGGCTCTTTCGAGTCCCAACAGTCCTTCCACAGCACAAGCACCATGCAGCCTAACAACGTTCAGCTCCCGCCTATCAATGGCCAAACGTGCAATGGCCTCGTCCCGGCACTCCAGTCCATGATCAACTCCCTGCCGAACTCTGGAGCTGGCACACCCGTCCCGCAGAGTCCCTTCATTACTGAAGCGACTTTGTCCGCCGCTGGTTTCCGGGCTCCTCAGGTTGCGAACGACGACGAGCGAAACCTGATCCTCGACAATATACGTGCTCAAGATACCGAGCACGCCATTCCCGAGGGTTTCCGCCTTCCCAACCTGGCCTCGCTGAACCGATTCTTGTCCACGTACTTCGGGCTCTTCCATCATCATCTCCCATTCCTGCATCCCGCCTCCTTTGACTCGACCAAGGTTTCCCCCGCTTTACTTCTCGCGGTTTTGAGCATCGGGGCGCTCTATGCGTTCGACCAGGACCAGGCCTACATTCTCCATATTGGGTCCAAGGTGCTTGTCAATCAGTTCCTCCAGAACAAGGAGAACTTCAGCTCACGCAAGTGCCCTCTGTGGACGATGCAAGGTTCGCTTCTCAACATGATCTTCGCCAGCTGGAGCGGTGATGCGAAGGGACTCGAGTGGGCTTGTTCCATCAAGAGTTTGCTCGCCAACATGGTGGCTGGAAACCGGTATGAACTCAAGCTTCGCCAGGAGGCTCGCTCAGGTGCCCAACCCACTCGCAACGAGTGGATCGAAGACGAGGGCTGCCGACGCACCTACTATGCCGTCTATATCTTCTTTGGTTTGCTCACCCTGACGTACAACCACACGCCGGCCATCAGCTTTAACGAGTTCGAGGACCTGCAACTTCCTTCTACGGAGGCGCTCTGGAACCTCAAGGTTGCAGACGAGGCCGCTTGGCACGAGCATCTGAAGGCATCTCCTGTGGTTACTTTCATGGAGGCGCACGACAATCTGTTCCAGGGAGAGACACTCAGGTACAGCGCGTTTGCGTCGCGTGTTATGATCAACGCCCTGTTCCTTGAAGTCTGGTACCACAAGCGCAGTCCAGAGGCATTACAAGACGTTGTGACCGAGTACAAGCTCAGACTCGCGCTCGAGACGTGGGAGAAATCCTGCGAGCTTTGCGAGCCTGAGAACGTCGCGGTCCCATTGAGTGCTCCCCACAAAGGACACCCCCTCATCTTCAATGCCAAGGCCATGTACCGGAACGCGCGAGCCCGCCTCGAGGTCGATCTGAAATCCGTGCAAGAGGCATTGCGCTACCATGATTCCTATGAGGTCGCAGCCGCCATGTCAAATGCGCGGGATCGCGTCAAGCGCTCGAGCGAGATGATCAAGGTGATCCAGGAGTGCTACAACTGCATTGAGATTGCTGTAGTGCAGGGTGTGCGCTGGGTTGCGCGTACCTCACCAACGAACTGGAGCGTTGAGCATGCCTTGTGTGGTCTTGACCTGATGATCGTCCTCTCGCTCTGGCTCTACCGTCTGGAACATGACGAGGAGCAGGCTACTGAGGAAGAACTGGCCATGTACAACAAGGTTCGGCTGCTCTTCGACAAGGATCTCGATGAAGCGTACGCAACCCAGCTCAGCTCTGTTGTTGCTCGGCTGTGGGGCAGCATGCTGGACGAGGTCGTGGTCTGGGGGTAAGTCATATGTGTTTATTCATCTTTTTGAAGGGGGAACTGACAGAATTGCAGAATCACCAGGCTCATTGGCGAATCCTTCCGTCTCCATGCGCAAGCCCTTGTTGGCTACGTCGACGACATGGAAGCATCCTCGAGTGTTTCGACCCCTTCGATGATTTCTCAAGGGGCCGATGAGGACAGCGTGTACTAGTTTCGAGATGACTGAACGATTTCCTATGTTTTTTTTTTCACTTTATTTCCTTGGGCTTCGTCTCTTTGGCATATACCTCTTCGTCTGGCGGATGAATTTCTGGCGTAACGGATTTGGAGTGGTTCATCGAACACTCCCTCTCGGTCTGAGGCTTTTTCCCCTTACGTGGCAGGGGAACAGGCGTCACAGATGAGAGGTTTTTGATTTTGGGACGGCCATTGCGCATCATATCCCAGTTTGCTCGGCTGGGACTTTGTTATATTTTTCCTTGGCTTGGTTTTCCTTTTTGAGCGTCCCAGCATTGGACTTAGTCACGGGCGATAATGGGGCCGGCAACACGAAGGATGGTTGGGGGGAGGTGGGGGGTTCGGCACGGATTCCTGGGTAAAGCAAAACCTGGGGGATTGGGATAATTCGGGCCCTGCTCACGCATCCCAGAGACTGCCTCGGGGCACTGATGGCTGGTCCAGGGTGGGGTTGGTGATTGCTTGTTGCGTTTTGTTCTATTAGCTTCATACTAATGTTTTGTGCTGCTGATATCCATTTCCTCTTTCTCTTCTCCTTTTTATTTTCTTTTTCCTCTACTCAATTTGGCTCTTGCTCGTTTGACTTCTCTCGTCTTGGTTCGTTGTGTTGTCGTGCGTCTGGTTTGCGTTCCCGCGTTTTGCTTCGTTTCGTTTCGCTTCGCTCAGATACCTTGTTCGATATACAGACTGCCGTACCTGCGCAACTTGGAATTTTACGTTTTGGGCTTTGATTCAACTTTGTCCCTGCTCTGGAACGCAGTTTCGGCATGAGTGGGAGGTACGACACGGAAGCTCTCAGTAGCTGGCCTAGGGAGCAATCTCCTAAGGGGTACACCTGAGGTAAGGCCTAAGTGGAAGAAAATGGGCGTGGAAGAGAGATGGCTTCTTGAGCACATGTGTATAGATAGTTTCCTAGGAGTTCATCAGCATTGAAATATCACTTCTCTTCATCAGCATTCATTCCACCTGCTCATTCTCTACCTCGTTCAATGTGCGTGACATCGCCAAGCTAGCCTGCGAGCTGTCTGTCAACTCACGCTGAGACTTCAAAAGCTGACATGAACACGGGACGGATCAGCCATATACCGTCAGTTGGGGTCTAGCCGTTGGGCTGAGTATCGATCAAGCCAGATGACAAAGAACCAGAGGTCTTAATGATGACAAAGGGGCGATGAGATGAACTTGGACGGAATGGTGCTGGCGCTAAGGAGGCGTTAGAAGGCGGTAGGGGTTAGGGAGACTACCGAGCGTATCATGAGAAGCCAGCGCAGCCGTGCGTATAATGTCAGAGGAATGGGCGCCGTGTCAGATGGAGTCTTGTGGTGTGTTAGGTGGCCAACTGTTGATGGATGATACCCAGCGATTCGAGGAGTAAGGTCTGGGAGGCCTCGATTATGGCTGCCTGTCTGGCTAGCAGTTTGATATTGCAGAGATGTTCCAGTCTCCTTGGGGTCATTGCGGCGTGTGCGATCTCCAGCATACGCCCTGCAGTGAGCCAGGATGAAGATGCAATGCGTGGGCTGAACCGTCGACGGTGTTCATGTCGGGTCAGGCAAGGCAAGGAAGGGCAAATCAGCTAAGGCGAGGAGGTGAAAGCGATGCGTCCAAGTGATGTTGATCTGTGCACCAAGCCACAGCAGAAGGGAGAGAGAAGAAAGAAAAGAAAATAATCGCCTCAACGACCAAAGTCACACTATAACCCCATGAAGACGCTTCAATCATCAAGGAAGCCAGGGGAGAGATGCGTTACGTCGGCGAGACGGGGCCGTTGTGTTGCTGGTTGAGACCAATGATGGGGAGAAGGCGTTTTCCATTGTTCTCATCTCTGAGGTAGCCACAACCCCCCTATCGCGTGGTTTGCCCGAACGTGGCAGCTATTGGCCTCCTTCTCCCTCTTCGCCCCGTCAGAAGAGGAATAGCGGATGAGAGAGACATGCAAAGTGTCGATATTGGAAGCGGTTTGCGCTCGAGCCCATCATCGTCTTCTTTGTCCAAGCTCGTGCTCCAGTCCCACGGGGTCCAGCGGGCAAAACAAGACTTGTTCGCCACCATCTAATTAGCTCGGGACAACTCAAGTAGATTGCAGGCACCACTGGAGACATACCCGCCCGTTTCTTTCCTTGGTAATCTTTCTGTCTCCTACTTTGTTTCTTCAAGGAATGGTCGCTTTTGGCATGGTGAGAAAATTGCGGATGAGGTCGCTGTCTGGTAGCTCTGTCATGACAGAAGCCAGCCACACAGGGGTATAGTGGACTTGTCTGATGTCTAAATGCCATCATCGACTCTTCCCCATCGGGACGACGGTTGATAGAGATGTCGTTTTATCCAACGTCTAGCGTTCAAGGCAAGTCTTTGTCTGATCGCTGTGGACTTGTCTTCTTTGGGACATCGTTCGAGTCCGTCTGTGGACCAAGCTGCAGGATAGCGCCGTCTGGGGTGTTTGTGACTTACAGGCAGATGGAAGAGGTCTGTATTTCGGTTCGTGGATGAGCACTCTAGCCGTAGACACGGTGTGTGACACGGCGTAGTTTACTTGGAATCTCGCCTCTTCGTCTCCCGATGTCGTCGCTATTCATTGACCCGGTATGCCGCTTGTATCTTGCGTGTTTGCTCATTTCTTCTTCCCAATGTGCTCCTCGGCATCTCAGTGCCGAACTTGACTCTATTTGTATCCCGTCATTCTATTTGTTTACCTGCAGGCCTGTACTGATGGCACGCGGGTTCGGAGTCGCCCCTTTCCTTTCAAAACGTTGGACGCTTGTGTTGCGCTGGCAATAATATAACCACCCGCGACCTCGTATCACTTGCACACAAGACTACCTCCACCTCGCACCTCCATTCGTAATCACCACCTATACATACTCGCACACAGGCGACTATCATGAGGAGTTTTGCGAAAGCATGCCTTCTGGCGCTCCCTCTCCTCCCTGATGTCACCCGCGCAGCCTGTGAGTGTGGGTTTTCCGCCAACATCACCGGCACCGTCGAGGTTTTCACCGACCTGATCGAGACCGACTTCACCAAGGTCATGCAAATCAAGAACAATACGGACTGGGTCCGCCAAGAGTTCAACAAGACCAACACCAACGCGAGGGGGCCCCTGGGGGAGGACTTCCAGCCGGCCAATATCGCCGCCGTCCACGAGGGATCGACCTCGTACGGACTGAGCCCGACAAAGGCCGACGCGGGACTGCAGCTGCTGGTCGGGAGCTCCACTGTAAACGGCCTGGTGCCGGGCGCTGAGATCGACTCGGCGCGGTATGATGTGCAGTACGGTTCGTTCCGAGCTATGATGAAACTGCCGGGTATTGCTGGGACATGTGCCGCCTTCTTCTGGGTACGATACCGCTCGACTGCCCCATACGCGCAGACATTCGTGGACCAGGCTGCTAACACCGAGCCAGTACCATAACGACACGCAAGAAATCGACATGGAGTTTCTCACAAGAGAGTTCAACCCCTCCAACAACAGCTTCCCTGTCAACATTGTCCTGCAGTCGCGCGCCTCGCTGGAAAAGGGCTACGACGCCTCCAGCACAGGTAACTTCCTCAAGGTCAACCTGGGCTTCAACCCGGCGACGGACTTCCACGAGTACCGCATCGACTACCTCCGAGACAAGGTGACCTTTTACGCCGACGGCAAGGTCCTGGGCGCCATGAACGGCAGCGCCGTGCCCACCGAGGGCGGGCACCTGATCCTTCAGCATTGGAGCAACGGCAACCCATTATGGTCGGGTGGACCGCCCAAGACGGACGCCATCATGACGGTGGCCTCCGTGAAGGCCTACTTCAACTCTTCACTTGACGCGCGCAAAGCCGACCACGGCAGCCGGTGTATCGATCCCGCGGCGCCGGGCGCCGTATGTGCTATCCCGGACAACCCTGCCTTCTTCTTCGGCACGCAGGCCAGCATGACGAACAAGCAGACCGCATCCGGGACGCCGAGTACCAAGCATAGCGGTTCTAGGATGATGAACCCGCCATCGTGGATGCTAGTTTCCGCCTTGTTGTTTCTGGGCGTTCGATTCGTCTGAGTGTCTGCTGATACCCTGGCATCATGGTCCTTGGAGTTTGGATGCTCTCTTAATTGCTTCTTCTTTCTTCTCTTTTCCAATCATGCCATCACAGTGGAAGGTGTCTCTGAGAGACAATTATGACATAAAACCGTTGTAGGTGGGGACAGTATGGCGAACGGAGTAAGGAAGTTGGCAAACCGCCGTTATAAGGCTTTGCATCATATGTTTTACGTGATAGTGCCTTCTCTTTCTTATTCACGCTGCTTTACGAACGATATCCAATTGTATTATCTCACTTGCCTTCACCGTTTCAAGCCGGCATCAGATGGTGCGAACTTCAACTGCTTTCTCTTCGAGTTGACGGTCGTTCCCAGGACGGAGCGGGAGCAACTGCGATGGACTGTCCGCCGCGTGCAGACCAACAGGAGTTGCTGACTAGCGAGCGAACACCGCCGTTCACCGGCCGCTTCAGGAGTCAGAAGAGGTTGTTGTGATTGTCTCAAACCGGCCGGCTCCGAGGTGGGTACCGGGATTACTCCGCACTGACAAGCTGCAGCATGTCAGCCAGAGCCCAGCTCAACTCCAAAGTCCGTCACGAGACTAGCCTTTGACAACCAACTAGCCTTGTCCGGCTCCTTCCTGACAAAAGGCCGACACCTCCAACTCAAACCTCCCCCGGGTTCTCGTTGGTTACGGGCGATCAGCAGCCCATATATGCCACATCTGCATGGCCGCCCCGCCCCTCATACACCTATGGGAAAAGACCAACCTTACTCACCGGAGCGTCTTGGAGGTGTTGCTACCGCGGAGTATCAGTAGCGTCGCATTGCACCTCTACGGTTCTGTCCATCCCATCCTAGGCGTGTGATCATACCATGCCCTAGCTCCCGGGGCTTTTATGCACAACAGAAGCAAGTGACGGCCCAAACAATGGCATTCTACCCCGGATTCACGGTCATGACTACAGGATCATGCAGGGTAGCTGACTTACACCGACAGGATTGGATTGTGGAGCAAACTGTGTCTCGAAACAAATGACCCGCTGCTCTTCAGCTCTCCGGTAGCCAACGATCAATCAATCCATCAGTCGATCAATGCCACCTTCCTTGCCCACACACGTGCGAACCCCATGGCGCCGGGCGAGCCTTGGCCTCTCTTTCTCCATTTGAATCTTCATCATCATCTTTATTTCGTTGTACTTTTCTCAACTGGCCACCTGCCGTGGTCATCAATCGTCAGTGGTTCGTCGTCATATGGATCCTATTATTGACCTTAAAACCGGGCAAAACCAAAGACGGGGCTTGTTGGCAAAGTGTGGGCCACCGCTACCCATTCCCGCCTTATCCTTGCCATTCATTTCGTCATCCCGGGAGGACGGGAGAATCCAGCAAGCATATCACACACACTTGCGCGGCTCATGTACCCTGCCGTATTGGTTGGGACCGAATATGAGTGTCATCAGCTGGGAACTTGGCGGCGGCAGCGGTGGTGGTGGTGGGAGGGTCGCAAAGAAACCCTGCACATGGTCGTCGCGGTCACTTGCTTGTTCAGTTTGTCCATCTCTGCCTCTCCTGGCCTTCATACCAGGAAGACATGAGATGAACGCCGGCTCAATAAAAGGCGAGAACCGCCTCCCCGGGAACCAGCAGTGACTCTAGAAGCACACGCTAGAGAACATCATAGACGTGCCCGAACCACCACGGCTACGCATACACATACACTCATACCCGCTTACAGGCTTCCTCCTACCACAAGAGACGCCATGACGAGACCTACCCTCGATATCGCCCTCAGGAACAACACGGGCTCTTCCAACGCCTTCGCCCACATAACTGGTCTGGACCTCAACCGGAACAATGCCGTCTTCTTCCTTCAGGCCGACGGCGTCACGGGCTACTACCCGACCTCGCCCTCGGACATACTCCAGCCGCTGCAGTCCGACTGTGCCATCCCGCTCGGTGCACCGGGGTCGACGCGGAGGCTGACAATTCCCCAGATCGCCGGCGGCCGCATTTGGTTCTCCCAGGATGGACCGCTCAAGTTCCTCCTGAACCCGGGCCCGGCCGTAGTGGAGCCCTCGGCCACCAACATCGCCGACCCCAACTATAACCTCAATTGGGGCTTCTGCGAGTTCACCTTCAACAGCTACCAGGTCTACGTCAACATCTCGTACGTCGACTTTGTCAGCATCCCCGTCTCCCTAACCCTCGAGAACGACGCCGGCAAGGTCACCACCGTGCCCGGCTTCCCATCCAATGCCCTCGACGCCATCTGCGACGGCCTCAGCGCCCAGGACGCCGCCGACGGCGCAGGCTGGTCAAGGCTCATTGTGCGCACCCCTGACGGCTCGGCGAACTTGCGTGCCCTCAGCCCCAACTCGGGCATCGTCATGCAACCGGACCTGTTCCAGGGATATTACCAGCCCTACGTCGACGCCGCCTGGGGCAAGTACCGCGGCGCCGACCTCACGGTCAACACGCAGGCCGAGTGGGGCAATGTCAAAGGCCGTGTGGGCGCTGACAACCTCCTGTCGTTCGGCGACGTTGGGTCCTTCGCCCAGCCGAGCGCGCGAGACATCTTCAGCTGCAGCACGGGGCCATTCGGCGGGTACCCCAAGAACCAGGCGCAGATGGGCGCTATCGGAGCGCGCATCGCGGCGGCCTTCAACCGGTCGACGCTGCTCATCAACGACCAACAGCCCGAGGGGGAGAGCGTAGGCAACTACTACAAGGATGCAAGGACGAACCACTACTCGCGTATCTGCCACGAGATCAGCTCGGACGGCCGCGGATACGCGTTTCCCTACGACGACGTTGGCCCAGCGGACGGTCCCGATCAGTCCGGATCACTCTTCGACCCCAACCCGAAGCTTCTGACTGTCGGCATTGGCGGGGAGAAGGCGGCCACGGCGCAGGAGGAGCTGTAGGGGGAACTATACTTGCCAACAATGTAAGGCCGTTTTTTTCTGTGTTTCTTGTTTTAGCTCCTATTTTCTTCTTGTGAGGAAATGTACTTGTTCATGGTTGATGAGTGACACCTTGCGGTGTGCATCGGGTGAAGAGGTCGGGTGATGAGGAGGTAATCCCGGGCGTAGTCGCCGGCCGAAGCCGAACAAGTTGGATTGGCGTAGATAGATACCAGGAGGCACACATACCGAATCTGATAGCGAAATATGCCCATCTTACCAACTTTTTGTGCTGAGATTCTCGGGAGTTGATTGACGTGCCAAGCCGAGGCCATCTGCGTCTCCTCCCTTGGCCCCCAACCAGGATGCCGATTCGCAGAAGACAGATGCGGTAGCGCCATCGTACAGGGAGGCAGGTCTGTTAGTTGGCATTTGTCATAGAGCCAAGGTCCGTTGCTTGCTTTTTCCTTTATGATGGTCCATGTCCCTGATAGGCTGGCTCGCCGGCAGGCAGTGTAAATGTGAAGAAATGAGCCATAATGCAACCTCGGCCCAGATGTGGTGGGAGGAGCCCAGCCAAGGCACGACTACTGCAGCCAGTCCTCGACTTCGCGGAAGCCAGCGTCGTGGTTTTGCGTAAAAAAAAAAAAACAGTAGCTCACAAACCGTCCGTAGTTGTAGTACCTACACTAGTGCGAGGAGCCCTACGAGGTACCCCAGTCGGCCGTTTGTTCCAAATGGGTTTAGATGAGCTCAAGATATGCACAAGGTATGATGATGGCAGATGCTGCTGCTGCTGCGCTGCGGTCCTGCAGAGGCGATAACGCATACCCCCCCCCCCGTTTCTCGCCATTCAAATCCTCATCCTTCCCACTCGTCCTTTGCATCGGGGCCCGCTGTTGCTTAATGCCCATACGACGTCTCAGGGGCGTCCAATTGGAAATCCCAGATTGCCTCCCTCCCAATCGATGATGAATCAAGGAAATCTAGGTTCCTCGTATCTACCAATCCGTCATCTCGCATTCCCGACTCAACGGAAGAGGGCCATAAAAATAAGCGCCGGGATTTGCTCCCGCTTGGGAGAATGTGAACTTTTCGGACCGGACTGCCCGTTGATTGCCACCCAAATCAACACTTCACTTCTCACTCTCGTCTTGGCCTCACGTCCCCCCCGCTCCGATCGCCGTTGCTTAGACGGGAGAGATCCAGTGCCCTGATATGATATGATCATGGGCACCCACGGCAAGCCATTCATATCACTAGTCGGCTGGTCTCTAACACGGCCGTGCGGTTTGAACCTCCTGATCACCTTTCATCGACCTGCTGGCTACTCTCGAGCCGATTATCTGGTTTTTCAACATGGTGTACTGCGGCAAGCCTTCCAAGGGCTGTTCCGTTTGCCGCGAACGAAAAGTCAGGGTATGTCCGTATTTGGCTGCACGAGCTCCTTGACCCGTTCAAGTCTCGGGGTGCTTTTGCTCGCGTCTTTTCTGCGACATTTGTAGATAGGCAGGCATGCGATTCTCGGCTTCTTGGGCTGTGTATACCTTGATCGTGGGCTAACAGCGTCATCGACAGTGTGACCAGAAAGAGCCCGGTTGTGGCCAGTGTGAGAAGCGCCAGCAGCAATGCCCTGGCTATCGAAACCTTGTTGACCTTATGTTCCGGGACGAGAGCTCCCATGTCATCAAGAAAGCCGCCAAAACGAAAGCTCGGGGCCGCTTGAAGACTTCCGGTACCATTTGCGACGCCGAGTCGTCTGAGAATGCACCAGCCACCACCAGCACCAGCACCGGCACCGACCCTGAGAGCTCCGGCCCGAATTCCAGACCGACTGCCAAACCTGGTGCTCGTCGCCAATACCAATTTCTTCCTCTAGTCGTGGGGACTCAGAAAGTCGCCATCAGGCACCGACCTCGTCAGGCTCGATGGGCTTCTTCCTCCGAAAGTGATGACGATGACGATGACCTGTTGCCGTCTCCCGTGGAAGAAATCCGGCCAGCGACGCAGCGAGCAACGCCTCTATACTCCTTATCGCCATCGTATCAAGAGCGTGGCACAGCCTTCTTCTTCTCCCGTTATGTCTCTGTCGACGAGAACGCCTGCCACCTAAACTATGACTTCATATTTGACATCTGGCGTCCAGCTAGCATGTTGCCTGACCGGCAGGTAGACGGTGTGATGGCTAGCATGACAGCTGTCGGGCTGGCTGGTCTCTCCCATCTCACCATGCGCCCCGAATTGATGGACTGGTCGCGCAGGAGCTATGGCACCGCTCTACAGCTGACCAATGATGCTCTCCGGAACCCTGTCGAGGCGCTCAAGGACACGACAATGTTGTCCATCCTCATATTGGGCACGTACGAGACGCTCAGTGGCCGCAGCAGCCAGACAGTAAGGGCATGGCAAAACCACATCAACGGCGCCTCTGCGCTGGCCAAAATGCGCGGCCTCAAGCAGTTCACGACAAGGGCGGGGGCCCGTATGTTTGTCATGTTGACGCAGATCGTTCTCATCAACTGCATGCAGAAAGACATGCCTATGCCGCAGCCTCTAATCGAGCTCCGAAACCAGCTGGGTTTGCTGTCAGGGGGTACAGATGTCAACTGGCGGATATCAGGTCCTATTTATAAGGTCATGCAGTTGAGATACGACATCAACAGCGGGAAACTCAGCCAGACAGCTGAAATTATCGACCAGCTCTTAAAAGTTGATCGGGAATTTGCCGACATCATTTCTGACCTACCAGAACATTGGAAGTATCGACCTGTGAAGCTCTCGAAACCTCACCCAGCCGTGTTCGGTGGTTATCATTGTGATGCATACCCAAATCTGGGGTTAGCCGCGACGTGGAACGGTGTTCGATCTATCAGATTGATGGTACATGAGACCATTGTTGGCGAGCTCTTCAAGTGCTTTCCCGGTCAGCACATAACGGCTTGGCCATACGAAGCAAAATTACAGCTTGCAAATTCTGCCGCGTTCTTGGAGAAACTTCGCGATGCAGTGATGGCGAGTGCTCCTCAACATTTCGGCGTCGTCAGCTTCAAAGATGCAATGTCAGAAGGCGGTGGCTCGGCGACAGCCGTTATTACAGCTAACAAATCACCGACCCATATCGTGCTGTCTCCCCTAACTTCCACATTATCTACGCCACCCGCTTCCGTGGACGGCCCAACGCGACGCCCGGCCGTGTTCAACGGTCCAACTTTGCACGACCCGGCACATATGAAAGGTCGCAGCGACAATGCCGAGCGTTTCATGACCCTTGCATCTGCGACCAACACTGTTGTATGGCCGTTGTACTTGGTGGGCGTCTCATCATGCGGTACAGAGCAAGTCAAGACTTATGTTGTCGAACGGTTGCAAGCGATCCTCGAGGAGTCGGGACTGCTGCAAGCTCGTGGGGTAGCACTCATGGTGAGAGATAAGGAGGTGTGCATACCATGGGCCGATGTGGCCTGGGATCAAATGCCACGGACACAGATTCCATCGGACTTACTTGTGTAAAGGTACCATGAATAACTCGGATGACCGGATGTCGATTCTATGTGTCAGTAAACACATGAATTACACTCATCATAACCATGGTGATTTCTAGTTAATCCGTGAGGGGTATCATATTTATTTTTGCCGTCTGTGATCCCGGTATCATCGCGGCTTCTGGCCGGGCTGCAAGGCATCACCAGTTGTCAAAGTTGCCGAAGCCGCCGCCCTTGACTTTCTTCTTGGCCGGTTCTTCCCATGTATCAAGGTCTGCATCTGCAGCTGTCTCTGGGCTCTTCTGCGACTTGAGATACTTGCCCACCCCGGCGCCTGCGCTCTCATTGTCCACAGTGCCGTCAGCTCGAATCCTCTTGCCGGTCCAGGTGGTCTTGTCATCTTCTGTACCGCCGCTCAGTGCTATCGCCTGCTTGGTCTTTTCCGCTTTGTCGATCTCGATCTTTTCCTTCAGGAACTCTTCGAAAGGATCCAGATATACCACCACTTCCTTCATCACAATCTTGTTGAGCGGTCGGTCGGACCCGTCAGTGGGAACGTCTTCCATCTTTGACAGCACGTCCAGGCCGCCAACAACCTTGCCAAACACCGTGTGTTTGTTGTCCAGGTGCTTCGTTGGCCGGTAAATGATAAAGAATTGGCTAGAGTTGGTATTCTTGCCTTTGTTGGCCATACTGATGATGCCTCGAGCATCGTGTGTTAAAGGTCCATCGAACTCGTCCTGGAAGTTTTTCCCCCAGATACTGGTACCGCCTTTGCCCGTGCCTGAAGGGTCGCCTCCCTGGAGCATAAAGTTTCTAATGTTTCTGTGGAATGTGACGCCCCTGTAATAGCCCTTCTGTGCTAATCTCGTGAAGTTCCATACCGCACGAGGCGCATACTCTGGATAGAGCTCGATATTCAGATCGCCAAGATTGGTTTCGACGCGAGCATAGCCCTTGATCTTGACTCGTTTAGGCTTGAGCATGTATTCCTCGTCTGTCAAAAGCGCTCGTTCGCCACTCGTCTCAGGTGTGAGTCCAGTGCTGGTGAAACTGGCGGCTGCTCTGCCGGTCGTGTAGGCGGCGGCATTGGATGGAACTTTCTTCTCCATGATCATTGACTTGCGCTGTACCCCCGATCCGGACTTGACAATCGCGCCAGATGTGCGATTCACGTCGCCGCCTTCTCCGCGCTCCTTGCGGGCCTTTTCAACGGCCTCCTTTGCCCTCAGAACCTTGTCGCCTATGCGACCAAGCGCGCCAATGTTGACATTGCCGTTCTTCCGCTCCTCCTCCTGCTGCTTCGTCAGGATAGCTTCCTCGCCATCCTTGAGGAACTTGAACTGACTCAAGTCTCTGCTGGCAGCGTTTTGGGGATCCTGCAAAGTGATGATATCGGCTCTCGTAAACTCCTCGTCGTCAACCAAGTCTCGCCAGTTTTTCGCCTTGACATTCATTCGCTCGACCGTTTCCCAGGCAAATACGTTTGCGTAGCTTCCGTGTCGAACCGCCACGATGTGGGTGTTGTCCGTGAAGACCTTGAAGGTGACTGGATCGATTAAGTCGCCCTGGCTGTCGCTCAGGCCTGCACTTCTCGAGTCGGTTCCGGCATTCCTGGAGAAGTTGAGTTTGATCAAATCTTTGGCACTGAGTGGCTCGCCGTTGACGGGATTTGTGTCATGTTTGTCCAACCAGGAACTAATGACCTCGACATCAAAGATGGTTCCATCCTTGGTGCAAACGGGGTTCTTGAAAGGCTGGAGACTGGCGGCGCAAAAGTTGAAGGGAAGGCGGCGGAACGCGCCTGGACGCGAGCGCCCGTTGACATTCGCACCGGCGCTGGCAGAGTAGGCGTCCGACGAAGACCACTCAGAGTGGGTGATGTAGAGTTTGTCCGTGTTCTTGCCCATTGTTGTTGCCGTTGCGGTTGTGCTTGCAATATGCAAAATAGCGACGAGGCTGGCTTGCAACAGGACAACGTTTTCTGGAGTCGACTTGTAGCGGTAGAGATTGAGCTTGTACCGCCGCAGTCTTGCCGTGCAGCAAATGAGGTCAAGTCTTGCTAGGAAAACAGGAAACGCGACCCGAAACTTCTTCACCAGTGAAGGACTTGCGTAACGAAGAAAGGCGTTCAATTCCTCGGCTACCAATGAAGCAGCACCCTGGGAATAGGTTTAGGTGGATTCCTTAACAGTAGTACTCCCTGTGGTGCGGCAACAGGGAAAGTTTCGGCAGTGAACTAAGGTAAGTCCTTCCCTGCGCCATCAGCACCAAATCCCTTAGCAAGGGGAACCCTCAGCACCCTGCGTTCGCTAGCGACTCGCAGGCTCATCATGTAGCTATCGACCAATAAAACCTCCCAATGATTCAAGTTCTAGTAGGCGTACGTGCCTGCCTCGGGAGCTTGGCACGGCCCTCCCTCACGCTGCCAGTTTCGCCAAAGATCTGCCAGCCTGGCACTGACAGGCTTCGATTCGCTACGACAAGCTCCCGCCGACACAGTCTCCGTGCAACGTATCCGACTTGGCTGGACTGGATTCTCACGATCCGCCAACACAAATCTGCCAACGGCCAAAGTCGTATACACTCATTCTATTCGGCATGCTTCTCGCAACCATCGTCTCCGTAACATTGCTGTAGATACAGCAGCTTCTCCGGTTCTGACACTTCGCGCGGCTACTACAAATACATACCTCGCCAACCAGACCAACCTAAAAATCTCGCTGTCGACCTTAGCCTCGCCCCGTCCACCAAGTCTATCATCAAGATGAAGGCAGGGATTTGGGCTGCTGTCTTGGGCATGTCCCTTTGGACAGCTGGTGCCCTGGAAGTGAAGATGGTAGGCTTTCGATCCTGCGATCGTTGATAAGGGCGACTGCTTGGAGTCTGAGAGCTAATCTGAGCCTGGCTGGTGTTGTAGGACCAAACCGACGAGAATAGACAGAGATGCTCAGGTGTGTAGCCCTCTGTGAACTGAAGCGCTACGTCCATCGCGAGGTTGTACTGATCATGGTTGAATCCAGGCATGTACAGTCGCAGCGCCTGGGGCGGACCTGTCGACCCTTACATCAACGTCATGTTCCTTCCGAAAGAGGCTCCGGCCGACCAAGATCCTGTCGTGAGTTTGGTCATCTTTGAATGGAAGGACGAGGACTTAATTGGTGTCCGCGAAAGCCCAGATGCCGAAAACGTGAGACGCCCTCCTGCAAGCGGCTGTTGCTTTGCCCACACCAGACGACTGACGTTGACTCTGCGCAGAAAATTGGCATTTGTCAGGAGGCATATGTCCAGAAGAACTACTGTAACGAGACGGATATTGGCAAGTTCATCATTGATCCGGATGCCACCACAAAGTCGAAGAACATGATCGAGACGAAGGCTATCCACCTCAAGGAGCCGCAGACGATCAAGTACATGATTGGAAAGACTGGCTACTACTGTGTCCTGACCGATAAGTTCTCCGCGGGCGAGTTCACTGCAATTGTTGAGTTCCGTAATGCCTACGGCGAGCTGCCTGCTACGCAAATCCCGAAGCTGCCTTTCTATGGAGGAATCACCATCCTCTATGCGCTGGTTGCAGTGTATGGGCCCCCATGTGTCTGTTGTGCCTCATTCAAATTTGCTGACCCTGTTTAGGTTCTGGGGGTTTTTATACTATCAGCACCGACATGATATTTGTAAGTAACAATATCGGGATTGAAAAGCAGTTGACTAACTGGTCGTAGTGCCGGTCCAAAACTACATCACGGCTATTCTCATCTTTCTGGTTGTAGAAATGTTAATGACTTGGGGATTCTATGGTAAGGCGATTTAAGCTGGCTTGGTCCTAGAGAATGTAACGAGCTGACATACCCAGACTACCTCAACCGGAACGGCGCAAACATCGGCTCCAAGGTGTTGCTGGTTATAGTAGCGATCCTGAATGCTGCTCGTAACTCCTTCTCTTTCTTTCTACTGCTCATTGTGTGCATGGGATACGGGGTCGTGAAGCATACGCTTGGGCGCACCATGATCTGGGTGCGGTGGCTCGCAATCGCTCACTTTCTTTTTGGACTTGTCTACGCAATAACAAGCTTGCTGATTACTCCAGACGCTGCAGGTAAGTTGCCCTGAACTTGACTTGGACATACTCCAAACTGACTTATTCAGGCCCATTCGTGCTACTCATAGTCCTCCCTCTCGCTAGCACCTTGACCGGTTTCTATGTGTGGACTCTCAACTCCTTGAACTTCACTCTAAAGGACCTGCGCGAGCGCAAGCAGCATGCCAAGGAAGCCATGTACAGGAAGCTCTGGTGGTGTATCTTGATCAGCATTTTCGTCATCTTTGGCTTCTTCTTCTTCAACAGCTTCAGCTTCGCATCCGTCAACGACCCCGACTACGTCCCCTTCCACTGGAAGTCCAGATGGTTCATTCTTGACGGTTGGCTGAACCTTGTCTACTTCGCCGACGTGGCTTTTATCGCCTACGTCTGGAGGCCCACCGCCAACAACAAACGCTTCGCCATGAGTGACGAGATCGCCCAAGATGATGACGGTACGTTCACAATGGCGGACATTGGAGCGCCGGACGATTCGGACGATGACGAGGAAGCTCAATTGGGCAAGGGCAACAACGAGGGGTCTCAGCCTGCAGGCCATGCTGCTTCCTCGGGTATGCCGGCGAGCAGTATGCCGCAGCAACAGCCAGAAAGGCACGTCCCGCGCGAGTCTTTGGACGGCGAGACAATCTTCGCCGTTGGAGAGGATGGCGACAGATTCTCTGACGACTCTGACGAGGAAGACGCCAAGTTGGTAAGCAAGAAATAGAGAGGGACGTTTTGGATTTTCGGGCATCAGGCAAAAAGCTGCAATCCTGTAATTGCAATGTACAACATCAAGTCACCCAGGGGACGGCGTTGGCGTCATCTGCACGTTCTCGAGCAGAGAAGGCTATTTTGTCCTTCTAGAATGAATGTCAAATAATACGATCGCTAGTAATGAGTCCTTTGTTGCTACAATATAATGTGAGAGACGTCTTTCGTCAATCAGTCCCGAGTGGTATCATTCAGCACCTGGGCTGAGGGCACTTTGTGCAACACGGCATTGTTACACGTCGCCACCAAAACCAACAGGACGTCTACGTCCGTCATTCTCCGGCAGGATCGCCATCACCTTGTAGACCTTGCCCATTCCTCCAGGGCCGCGGTCGATAAGGCGTCCACAAGCCTTCGCAATGTCCTCTGCCTTCACGAACTCTTCCTTCCCCCTGACCTGGTTGATGAGCACCTGGGCGCGCTGCCTGATGCCCATCAGTTCCAGGAACGCACCTTGTTCGATGGGACCATGTACCTCAACACCCTGGCTCGCGCGTGTGGCAGCCTCGGCAATGGCGGTGAAGTCGACGTCTGCGCTCAGATCCACAAGGCCGGGTTCGGAAAAGGGGCTGACGCGGCGGTGGCGGCGGATACCCCGCAGCGAGTTTATGGGGACGGTGTCGGAGGTGCCGTAGTCGAGGATCAGGGCGGCGCCTGTGGGTCGGGACTTGGGGTGCTGCTTGGAGCCGCCGATGCGGCTGGCGAAGTCGGAGGCGTAGAGCGAAGCGTCCGGGCAGATTTCGACAACGGCATCCGGGACCGAGGCCTTGAGGCGGCGGTAGCGGGACGAGCTCTCGGGGAGAAACCGCGAGTGACGGGTAGTGCCCGGTGAGAGCGTCATCTGGAAGTCGGGAATCGGGTCGCCCTGTTCAGACTTGGGGATCTTCATGGTCGCGTGGGTTGCGTCTGGTGGAGTCGGGGAGACGAGCATCTCGCGCCACTCAACCTTGGGCGGAATGGGAGGACCCGGCGTTGGATTCTTGGGTAGCGATGGGTGGGGAACATTCACGGCCTGAAAAACGTGGATGGGGAGTGCGTCAAAGAACTCGTGTGCTACGATGAAGGGCATCTTATTAGGGCCTGGAAGGTGGTTGTCAGTATATATGCCCTTGGTCGGGGGTGCTATGGCCATGCTCACTTTGCGGGATGGACTTAATGGTCTCAGTCCAAACGATGGGCAAGTTCGTGTACTTGCAAACGCTATGATAGCCAACCTTGGACTCTGTCATGGGCGCATCAGGGCCACAAAGGAGATTCTTCTGCGCCTCGCGGAGCTGCGGGCTTGCCTCGACCATATAGATGGCATCAATGCTCTGCGCCAGACCCTTGAAGTTCTGGATCGTCTGTATGGTATCAGTCCACATGCCCCCCCAGCACATAGCATCATTACAAGTTATACACTCACACGAAGCATATCGTCCATCAGAGTACCGCGTCCAGGGCCAACCTCAATAAGCTCAACCCCCTGCTTAGGCTTGCCCTGGCTTAGCCACTCTGCTACGAACCATACGCCGATCAACTCGCCGAAAATCTGGGAGATCTCGGGCGAGGTGACAAAGTCGCCCTTCAAACCAAACTGGTCTCTGTTCTCCTCGGCTAGACCCGTGTAGTATCCGTCGATATCGCCCGTTAGACACATGCGCATATAGCTCGCAAGGGGAACGGGGCCCGTCATCTAGTATGCAAATTGTCAGGTGAGGCTTTAAGGACCAAGAGGTATCGCGCATACCGAGATAGCTTCTGCCAGCTGTTTCGCCAGCGGCGTGGACCATTTCCTTTCCTCCTTGTCCTCCTTCTTTCCCTCGTGTCTCGACACAGTCCAGGAAAAACCCCTTGAAGCCTGCACCGCCAGAGGCTGTTGCACCGCAGGAAGCACGGCGGCACGGGTTACGGCAACCCCCTGTAGGCCAGCCGCCAGAGCTCCTCGAGTAAACAGGCGTTGCATCTCGTGCTTCTTCCGCTTTTGTGAGCTTCTTGGTAATCCTCCTTCCTTCCTTTCGATTCTTGCTTGCTTCGCGCGCAAACTCCCAGGCTTTTATGCACGTGTCGTCGGAACCATGGCGGATTTCCTCGAAAAAGAGACGGGATCGTTTTCAGTAGCGCGTGCACATGTGTTGACGCCGCGGCATGTGCTTGCCCAGGTTTCGATCGTTCGGTTCGGTTTGGTTTCTCTTAGCTTGGATGCGTTTTCTACGAGATAGGGAAGAAAAGCTTCGGGAAAGCTTGCAGCTTTCCTGAGTGCGATAAGATAACAATTCTCTAGCCTCATGCAGTGACTTGCATAAGTGTGAGCTGCGTGCCTATAAAAAATGCATGTAAAACAGGGGAAAGGTCGGAGCAAGCTAGTCGCCGACTCGCCGTGCGTGGAACCTCCAATTACTACAATTGCAGCTCCAGAACGTCCGGAGACCACACAATTCCTTCCCGTAGGATAACTCACGACAATACCATAACACGTATCCACGACTACGCAAACTTGTTCGACTAGCTGCGAAACCACAAATTGCTCTGTCTAGAAGCGGGCACAGCACGATAACTAGCGAGGCGACATCATACACCGCCGTCGCAATGGCAAGCAAAACGAAGTCAAGATGGGCAGACAGCGAGGAGGACGCCGCTCTTGTGGCCAAATTGAAGGCCGACAAGGAGGAGAAGAGGCGTCTGAAGGCTGAAAAGGCACGCAAAGCTGAAGTGGAACGATTGGCACAGCAAGCTAGAGCGAATACCGACAGCGGCGCCGCGAACGACGAAGACGGTGACGACACACGGCCGGTGAAACGGCGCAAGTTCACACCGGATACAGAAGGCGGGAGGAAACAAGCCTCGGAACACGATGCATTGGATAATAAGGAGGGCGCTGCGAAGCTCATGCGGTTTCCTTCCGGCCGCTGGGGTAAGTGCCGGAGTGTAGAGAACTACGACAAGCTAAACGACATCGAGGAGGGCACGTACGGATGGGTGTCTCGGGCGAAAGAGACGGCAAGCGGCAAGGTTGTTGCCTTGAAGCGTTTAAAGATCGAACCGAGCGACCGTAATGGCTTGCCAGTGACGGGTTTACGGGAGATACAGATACTACGCGACTGTAGCCACCGCAACATTGTTAATCTGGAAGAGGTCGTGATAGGAGACGATACGTCAAAGATTGAACAGTTGGTGGCTGCTTGGCCTGTACTGTGCTGGATCGAGGCTAATTTCGGCGCTGCAGTATCTTTCTCGTACTAGAGTTCGTCGAACACGACCTCAAAAGCATATTGGAAGATATGCCTGAGCCCTTCCTCTTGTCCGAAGTCAAGACACTGCTCCAACAGCTGACGGCGGGTGTCGCGTACCTCCATGATAACTGGATCCTCCACCGCGATCTCAAGACGTCAAATCTACTACTTAACAATCGCGGCCAGCTCAAGATCGCTGACTTTGGCATGGCGCGCTATGTCGGCGACCCGCCGCCGAAACTGACGCAGCTTGTTGTGACGTTGTGGTACCGGTCACCGGAGTTGCTCCTGGGCGCCCGGGCCTACGGCCGCGCCGTCGACATGTGGAGCGTCGGCTGCATCTTCGGCGAGCTCCTTACGCGTGAACCCCTCCTGCAGGGCACCAACGAAGTCGACCAGGTGACGAAGATCTTTGAGCTTTGTGGCGTGCCGACGCAGGAGTCATGGCCATCGTTCCGCAGCCTTCCCAACGCGCGGTCGCTGCGCTTCCCGAAGACGTCACAGGCCACGGCCTCTGCAATCCGGGCCAAGTTCACGACATTGACAAATGCTGGATGCGCGTTGCTGAACGATCTATTGTCTCTGAATCCTGATTCGAGGCCGTCGGCCAAGGAGATGCTGGAGCACAAGTACTTTAGGGAGGATCCGAAACCTAAAAAGGAGGGCATGTTCCCGACCTTCCCCAGCAAGGCGGGCCAGGAGAGGAGAAGACGGCATGAGCCGAACGCTCCTGTTCGAGGACAGAATGCTGTTGAGCTAGGCGACGTGGATTTTAGTGGCATCTTTCAGGGCAGAGATAAGGAAGAGAGAGGCGGCGGCTTCTCTCTACGGATGGTGTAAGTGATACGGCCGTACTCGTACAACCATGAAACTGGCCAGTCTCATCAATTAAGCTCTATATTGCCAACTCTCATAAACATCCGAGTTCAACTATATGAGTATGTTTTGCCCAACCATGCTTCGACATGTAACGCCGCCCGTGTGTGAATGACCGCCGTGAATGATTACCGCTTGACTCTTGTCCTCGCTCTTGTGATAGGCCCCCTCCCCCTCGGAGAAAATGAACATGTTCAATCAAAAGATTAGATATGGGAAATTTCGTCATTAAAACACACGTCATCAGAACATGCCGAGTCCCGTCACGAACCATGTGAAGCTGGCTACGGTGATCATGCTCATACCTACAGCCATACCGACAGCCTTGTTATTCAGGGAGGGCGCGGACGACTTGCAAACTGCGCAATGCCACTCGCTCAGAGGCGTGTACTGTTGGGGCAAGTACATGCCAAACTTGAAGCTGTTCGAGACGCCCAAGTAGCCGGCGGCTGCAGTCGCGCTGACGCTCGATTCGGCATCGTAAATGACGAGGGTGTACTCATCATTGCGCAACGGGGCCGAAGGGTCAGACGCTTGCACGCTCGAGTCCCAGGTGAAAGAGGCGGGTTGAGCGAAGCTCATGTTCTGAGTGAGCGTCCACGTCTGGGCCATGGCAGAGCAGGAAACAAGGACGTCGATGGCGGTAGGCGTGGCCTGAAGATTCGTATAGTTCCATCCCCAGGTGACGTAGTCTCCAATCTTGTATAGGTTTATAGCCTGTTGCATGGGTGCCGGTGTAATCATGACAACAGAACCGGGAGGGTCTGTATCGTCAAAGGTGGTCGGCCCTGGCTTGCCGGTGCCAGTCTTGGTGCCAGAACCCGTCTCTGTGGAGCCCTTTGCGGTGTTGAGGTTTGCGGTGTTGAGGTTGGTGGTTTTGGCGCCGCCTGTCTCCGTCCCCTCTGCAGTTCCCGTAGCCGTTGGTGTTGCTGTAGCCCCTGATTGGGGGGCCGGAGTTTGAGTTGCGGCAGGAGCTGGGGAGCAAGGTTAGCTGTATGGGTTCACATACACAGAGCGGCTAGTGGTATGGAGGCAACGTATCACAACATACCGGAAGATTCGTCGTTCTGGCGCACAACCAGGGCATCAACATCCGGAAGCCATCTGGGCCAGGCGGAAGCCAGAGGGGTTAAGGCAGCGAGGCCAAGAGCGAGAGACTGGACGGCCTTCATGGTTCCGAAAAAGGAAGTGGATTCCTAGAGGTTCGAGGAATACTGAGGAGTGAACCAGGTTCCTGGAGGAATGATGTCGTCGATTGTTTACTGGGGAGGAAACAAACGGTACCAAGCGAGTGCAGTCGATCGAGGACAAGATATTCTGTCTCTGAGGGGAGTTCGAATGGTTGTGTTGTCGTGGATCGAAGGGGGTTTGAAGTAGAGTCGCGGGCACCCCTTTTCAGGAAGTGCAAATTCGTGATAGTAGTACCGGGATGTGGTGTTTTTTTTACTTGTCGATCTTCAAAACTGGGGGTAATCGTTCTTTTCTCTTCAAATATCCTCCTCTTCTGATAGCAACAAGAAAACGAGCGGTGTTTGGATAAAAGCGAGTGTCGACGTTCCGGATACAAACAACAAAAAACGGACGTGAGGAAAGGGCGTCGGACTGCTGCTGGGAAGCAAATCACATGAGTTGGGGGGAGTGGTCAGGATCGGGGAGAGAGAGCGAAGGAAGGGCGAGAAGGCGCTGGAATGGGAGGAGAGAGAAATTTGGGGCTCTACACGCTCAGGAGGGAACGTGGATGGGGCCCCGATTGATTAGGTTCTGTGGGTCCACAGCAACCAAGGCACCCCTCGACGGAACAGGTCACTTTGTCACTTGCACTTAGGTATACTCTCAGGCACTCCCCGGACTTCTAAGGGGGACAGGGCAAGCCGAGAGAGCCAGCGAGTGACGGACGGGATCATGACCAAAAAACAATGAAAAAATAAATAAAAAACTGGAAGCATACCTTGCGGTAAGGAACAGGGGCTGAGCCTGCTGGAGCCAATGCACCAGTGCATGGAAGGATGGGTGGCACTGCACACACACAGCCCAAGCTGGGGGGGGGAAAGAACATCAGACCAGTCAGCAGCAACTTAATGCTGTAATTATGTCAACATCAGCCGGGAATTGAAGAAAAACACGGGACGAAGAGTCTGCACCTTCAGGCACAAAAACAAGCCATCATCCCACCAACCTCCCCCAAACCCGACTGAAGCCAACCCTCTGCACTACGGCTTTGATGCACTGCAACTTATGTGGCCCTTCTCCGGCCTCCCTACCCGCCACCCACACCCTCCACATCCTTCTTAGTGGCTAAAGACAACGCGCCTCATCCTCAACAATGGTCTGAAGCCGTTTACCAGTGGACTAATCAGCAGCGTAGTCCTTCCTTGAGGAAACTCGGATGGCTACACATTGCAACAGCGCTGAGCCTTCTCAGTACACTTCAGGTACCTGGTGGAACACAAGGGCTGGCTACCTAGGGGGGCGGAGTGATCTGATTTGGTGACCTGGTGCATCGGGTTGAGGAGGTGGGCTCCACCCGGTGCATCGTATTCCTCCCCCGTTCCTCCACTAGTGACGCTGCTCACTGGTCCAGTTCCCCCGCCCTCGTTCGTGTTGGCCTTTCGCTCCTCTAAAAATAAGCACTGGGACACATGCGCGCCTCCACAGATTCGGAACTGTGGCGAGACTCGCGCTCTGCCATGGCTTTGCGAATGCCGACGATGATTTCCTTTTCCTGAAAAGCCTCACAAGCCCCCAGCCGGTATGCCGACGATCAATCATCTGCCGCCGTTGCCTTCTGTCAGGCCTCCTTTTGGCCTGCTTTCGATGAACTAAGATATGTTAACACCGAGACCCCTCACGGATACCCCGACTCCTCGGCGCGAACGGCCCACTGCAGGTTGCCTTACCTAGGTACCTTATGTAAGGCTTCCCATGACAAAGTCCCACACAAGATGTCCTCGGCTTCGGACTTCAAGCGGCTAGTGGCCCGTAACACCCCAGCCAAGAGTCATATGCTCTTTGCCCAACTCATCGTATCGGTTTGACTCAGATGCTCCATAACCTGCCTGTGTGCCTGGACTTCGGACCGGCATGCACCCATTGTGCCGGGCACAGCATAGAGTAACATATGGTGGTCTTGGCCCACTTCCATCAACCTTCAGCAGGTTTTAAGATGCATATCATGCCCGTACAGGGCCGAGCTTACCTTACTCATCTTCGTAGACGGTACGGGCTGTTGCAAAGCAACTGCGCGAGCGAGCGTCAGAGCACGTGAAGTTTGGTGCAAGGAGTTTGGTGCAACTTATTCACGAGAAAATTGATGAATTGGCCCGTCCTGCTGGGATCGACGTTCGAAGCCGGGATTTCACACATCGTGACCCCTGGCTACCCGTCACCGGAACACCGGGACTTCCCAGCTTTGTACGGCAAACGGTTTCCCGTTTGCGGAACCTCACCAACGGTTACTACACCAATAAGCTGAACAACCTAAGATCATCCAGCGCCCCAACGAGGAATACATCGTACATATAGCCCGTATCTAACTGCTTTTAGCAAGAGCACCATACACAAGAAGTCAAAGCTTTGACCACATAAAGTGCACTAACGTTTCCCCTATCTTGACTCCTTTACGTCACTAGATACACTCTCTAGAAACTAGATTAGCTTTAGTAAGGAGAACCGCAATTAAGCTTTAGAAAAAGAAGAAGACAGAAAGACGCATAGAATTTGAGGTTAGGATTAGGGGTAAAGTTAGTGAGAAATATGTTTATACATAGAGTGATGAGGTTGGGTGATGTGTAGGAAAGTATTGGTGTACAGGCTAATACCGAATCACGACCAGAGTGACGAGTGGATACTTTTCGATACGCGTCGCTGCCATCCGAGACATACACGCAGCACCTTCTTCTTCATTGCGCATTCTCGTGACTAGTAGTGCTGTGCTTGTCTACCTAGGGCCGTTGCAGCAAGTTGAAGAAATACGGACATTGGGGCGGAGAGGTAAGCAATGCTGAGTCGGTATCACCGGAATGGCTGCTCGCCTCCGACCTCGAAATGCAATCCGATTCGCATCAATATTAGAATAGGGGTTGGGGTTTACCCTATTCGGCGAATTCGCCAGCCGTTCATGTCTCAAAAAACGAGTCCCCGGTCAATGTACCATTCGTTACACTACAGGCCGGAATGGAAGTACGTGTATGCACAGCACAGTCCAAAGCCGTGGATTGGCCTAGCGTTGGTTGGTCATTTTGCGACAAGTCTTCAATGCCAGATGCAGTTGTGGGAGTCCCCGAGCAATGCCCCAACAAGAAAAAGCAAGTTGCTGCCCGTAAAGACCATTGTGATCATTCAGGGGCGTCGTTTGTGGTCTTGCACCATATCGTCTGTGGTGCCTCTCTACTGGGTGTGATGAACAAGAGAAGAGTTTGGACGACTTGAGCCTTCCCGTCGGATGATCGTGCCGGCTCAGGGACCACCCGCATCGCTTCCGCCACTGGGAACTGGCCTGGAGTTGAGCCACAGGTAAGAGAAGTGGGGTATTCCGAATTCGTCGACGAGCAGGACCATAGGTACTGGTGATAAGCTTATCGATAACACAGTCCAGCTTGCTAAGATACTTAGGTACCTAGGTACCTAAGAAACGCCCGTCCAGGTGCTTGCTTCACCTGGGTATGTTGGACCTGCCGTCGTCGACTTCACAGTGGCGCAACAAACAACCTCTTCACTTCAACCTCTCGGCCAACTTGATTTTGTCGTTTTTTTATGCGGAAAGCCATGGCGTCCTCCATAGGTACTCCGGTGTCTATTGACCGCACCTATCTTGACACCCTTATCGGAAGGTAAGACCTACCCACAACCCACTTGAAGTTGGCCCGAGTTGGCGTACGGGCCGCTGTGAGTGAGGCTGATGAGAGAGCTTGAGAGAAGCTGACCACTTCCGCAGGGCCCAGTCTGTGCGTCCCGTGGCTTCTTATCTTTGATGGAATATTCCTTGTCTTTCCAACATTCGGAAGCTGACATAGCCTGTGTTAGCATGCTGGAGATGACACTCCTTCGGCTCATCCCACTATTACCATTGCCCGTGTCGAGTATGATACCCTTGTCAGAGCTGCTCGGGAATTCTGTATGAAACCCATCCTGCATTTTACACATCTGAGAACCGCAAGCGATGTCGAAGATCTACTCGAACTGACTTTTGATAAGCAAACTTACGCCGCAACCTCATGCGTGGTGGTGTGACCGTAGAGACCCTTGCTGTAAGTCGGGACCCCACATCTTGCCCCGATTAACGATATCTAGCTAAGCAATGGACATCTAGGTCTTGACTAGCGACGAGTCCAACTGGGACGAAGACAGTGCTGGGCAACAAACCGATGCTTCCGCTTCTGCGGATTCTCAGGATGTCATTCAACGACCAACCCACAAGCCTCGGGTGACGACGATCACTGCTGTGCGGGGTCCCCAAGGCGGACCGTACAACGGAAAGCTTTCCGTTCCTCAATCTGTCAAGCAGGGATGGGCCGATGACGAGCCTACCGCTCGTGGCATATCTGAAGCAACAGCTTCCCCTATGGAGGCCGAGCACGGGCTCGTTCACAAGGAGGACACACGGTTGTCTGTCCAGCCACAATTTGAGAGAATGGCTACAAGAACCATTCTAATGTCTAACCTTGCCGAAGGAACAGCTCACGCCGATGTGACGGATGTCGTTCGAGGTGGCCAGTTGCTGGATATATTCCTGAGGACCCACGACCGCTCTGCTCAGGTATCTTTCTTGCACGCCTCGGACGCCAGAGCCTTCCTTGAACACACCCGGCGTCATGACCTATACATCAGACACAAGCGGGTGAAGCCCTCCACTCACCATTTATAAAGATACCAATCTAACCAGTATAGCAGGTCGACGTCCGATGGAGTGATCGACAGTTCATTCTCCCAGGTCACGTTGCAAGCAAGATCGGAATTGGTGCCACGCGCAATCTTGTAGTCCGACGATGCGACCCGAGCCTCACCGAAGAGGGCATTCGTGACGACCTCGAGCATATCCACAACCTGGTGGTCGTTCAAGTGGCCTTTAGGGGCGATAGCTGCCACATTAGCACCAATTCAGTTCACAATGCTATGTTTGCACGGACCTGCATGATGAGTCGACAGTAGGTTGACGACCTCGCTTGCACTGAAGTAGCCGTAAGCTGACATCGCCACAGGAAGTACAAGAGATCTAGAATTGAATGGGACGTCGACGAGTGTGCCCAGCCTCTGGAGGTTACCCAGACTCACCGGGTTCAGCCCTATGTACTTTCGTCAAAGCAACCCATGAATCCCATGGCGAACCGCTTCGAGGTCCTGAAACTGGACGCCAACGATGACGATGAGGAGAATATTCCCCCGGGTTACCATCCGCAAGTTTCTATGGATATCATGGTGTGACGAACGACAACAGACTTCATCGAGGACAGTCTGTATATTCGAAATTGTAACAAAAGACGAAGGCTGTCCAGTCTATCGGTGCTCTTTTTTAGCCCGCGGGATTACGCTGAGTTGGGAGGAGGGCCTCTGTCATGCTTGCCGGATAACGGAATGGAGTTGGTAATACCCCTCGGACTGAACATGTGGATTCTTTGCTCCTTGAGTGCATCTTGGCAGTTTTTTTCCTTCGCCAGTTAGGGGGCGTCTGCGAGGTTATTCATTTGATAGATTCCTGGGAAGGAAGGATGCTGAAAATATGCTTATGAGTATCCTTTGTGTTCTGTCTATTGGCTTTCATTACATGGCTTATACGTAATCTCTAGGGAAGCTCAGGTGGTTTGGGGTTGCGTTGCGTTGCCCTCGTCAATGATTAGGCCCAGTGACTTCCAGCTCGTATGCCCATCTCATCTAAGGCTTGCTCTGCTGGAGGTTATGAGGCCTGTTTTAGAGGGTCTGTATCTGCCTGCAGCCATCATTCCTTCCCTCTTTTTGGCAATTACACGTATTCATCCCGCTCCCCGAACGGGCCCGTGACGTGTAAAGGCTCTCAACGAATCATAGATTGTAGTGGAATGTTGACTGAGAATGCTCTCTTGGCCGTTGCTTCCTCGCAACGTACTGCCCTCAGATATCGCTTAAAAACCATGTAGGCAATGCTACCGTCCAAGACTGAGGTCAACACCCGTTACGGGCCAGGCCTGCCCAGCGGGGCAGCGGGGGCTAGCAATCATCTATATTGCTATTTTGTACCTCGCAATCATCTCAAGCCATGTAACATTTGTGGTCTGGAAAGCGTAATTGGTACTCGTCGCAATCACGCATGAGTATGGGCTTCCAAGTTCCGGCGGCTCAAGCAAAAAGGTTGAACATCTATTCCCACCGTCAAGCCAGACACAGCAACACCGGGGCGGCACCCACGCCCAAGACCAAGGCCCTGGAGCACTTTCGCCCCAGACCATCACAACAGACCAAAGGAACGCTTAGAGGATATTCCAAGCTTAATAGATGGGCATTCTGACCCATTAGGTATCCTTGCCTGATCCGTCTCCGGGAGGGGCGTGACGTTGGGCGCTGACTCTGTTGCCTGTATATGCAGTGCGTGAACGGGTTCTACTTGTGCTTAGGCCTTGGCGCCGTACTCGTCCACATCGCCCGATGCGATGGCCTTTCCGATCTACGAGTCCAAGCAGCCAGATAGCATGGCATTACACCCCCGTAGGCCTTTCTTGTGGAGCGCCAGGCCACCCTCCGGTTGTCCATGACGCCCGCACCGTTGACGGGCAAGTCGATCCGGCTTCTTCAACCTCTGTCAGCCTGGAGAGCATTTCTTACTGCCGCCCCCTTTAGAGCTTTCCCCCGGCCCAAGGACTGTCCAGCAAGGCGAATGAGGCGATTGCCGAATACACGCCGTCATCTCATCACTCGCACCAGGGATCGTGAAGTCCGCGCGGCGGAAGTAGAGCCGGCCGTGGTCCGCCTTTTGGATCAGCCTCTAGCTAAAAGCCCGCAAACTTGGCATTGGTGCGCCAGGAGAAGCTGTGCACACGCTAGACTGACGCCCAAGCCGCACCCGGTCATGAGAGAGACCTTGCGGAATCCCATAGCGTCGATGGTCACTGGCGGGATGGAGAGGGCATCTGGGGAGGCGGTGAAGAACATATTCCCTTCGAAAGCTCGCTTGCCGTTGGAAGACCCTACCAAGGCCGCCGTGCGACAGTTTGTGATATGCTTTCATCTTGACCTCCAACTAGGAGTTCGAAAGTCGTTTCTATTGATGAATAAGTACTTACTGGTCTCGCCGCCGAAAGTGAGTTGTTGACACTGGAAAGGTTATATCTTTCTTCTCTCTCTTTTCAATTTGAATAAAAGAGCCCAAGGCGTCACCTACACAACCTCGCCTCTTGATCAAATGATGTCAGTAGCGTGTCTTGCACACGAGGCTAGTCAGCGCTCAGTCCTTCGATGGGAAAGGAGGCGACACAGGCAAGGTAACTCCGACTCGATGTATCTACTCCCATGTCCCCAAACCAAGCTGTTGCCTCGCTTCTCAGCCTTCCTCCCTGTGTTCTGCGTCAAGATTAGGTGTCAGTGGACAAAGAGTGCTCGGAAAACAGCATAGAGGTAGGGAGGACTATTCCCATGTACTGTCAGACCAGCCGTGAGAATGCCTTACCGAGAACGATTCGACAGATGTCCCTAGGTCAGCATCCAGACCGGTGCGGGCGGCCGAAGATACATCACACCACCGAGCAGGACAGGAAACAGAAGATTATGCAGGGGCGAAGCTCGAGTCAGAACATGTATTGTACTTGGGCGTCAGCAGCATTCCCCAGATGCCAGGGTCCTTTATGTCAAAGGCGCATATAATTACTCGGAGTATTTGGTCCCAATTACCGTAGCAAGATTGGCAAGCTGGATATATTCCAGGGTATAACGTCTCCAGCTTGAATATCCCACCTTGCACCCTGACCCTGTCCCCCAAGCAATGATTTACCAACGCGAGCGCGTTGTCAAACCCACGAACCCATCGCAATGCAATACCGAAAACACAAAGATACAATCCACTAAAAGCATGTACTCCGGGGATACCCCGCGATGAACTCCTCAAGAACCAAGTCTGGCTGCTTGGTTGTCGTTCAGACAACCCAATCAGCCCTACTTGGCATTATTTGCCACTGATGCCAGGTAGCCGAGCAAGAAACTCCGGTCCGCTGGAGATATTGGGGTTTGGCTGCCGCGACGGGCCTCGGACAAGCCATCCAGGGCACCTTGTCCGCTTGCAGAGGCAAGAGACGCCACCCGCGAACGCATGGCGCCGTCAGATGGCGCCATCTCCTTGGCCTTTCCCTTGTCTTCCAGGGCCAATACAGGACCAGGGTTTGGCGACTGAGGTTTGCCAAAAAGCGAGAGAAGCTTCTGTTTCTGCTCTGTAGACATTTGTGGCTTCTGCTGCAGAGAGTCAGGCGCCGGAAGAGCTGATGCAGCAGGAGGGCTGGCCAGGCTAGCAGGCTTGTCCACGTCAGCTGTACCGAATACCGAGGCCATAGCAGGCGCCCGAGGTCCACCTAGCTTGTTCAAGTTTTCCGCTCGTTGAAGAATCTGGCTAGGGTGCATCTGTGGCGACTGGTGACTATAAGTAACGGCGTGGTTGTTCATGCCTTGGTGATACGGAACCCTGCCATCGAGGTTTCCTGGGGTATATTCCCCAATAGGCTGAGGGCTTCGATGTTCGTGTCTGCCAGTTTGTGCTTGAAGTGAGAGGGATTGGAGAGGAAGTTGCGAGGCAAGGTCTGAGGCGCCCTGAGGGGGTCTGCTAAGAGGACTACTCGAAATGGGCAGAGTTCCACGGTTTTGAATAATGGGGCTAAGGGTACCCTGATTGGCGTTTTTGGCCATTGATATACCCTTCATGAGAGCGGCGCTTGCGGTATTTGCAGGCAGCTCAGCGAGCTGGTTTGCGGGCGGCGAGCTGATTTCGGGTTTCTTGAACATTTGTAAGAGAGTAGATCTATGTGCCGGGTCACCGGGCTGTTGAACGCGAGAGTTTATGCCTGGGCTGTGTTGTTGCTGTGTGGGCCCGCCGTTGGAAACTGGCAAATGAGGCAGTTGGTTATACACCTTAGCACCTCCATGCCCATGAATACCGCCAAATTGCTGACCATGCTCCGAGGTTGTAGCTCCAAATGGCTGCGGGCCAGTGTGGTGAGTGCTTTCTGGAACGTTTGATCTTGTCTCTGACTTGAGAACTCCCAACAGCGCCATCGAGTGGTTGGAGAGTGGACCGCTAGGAGGCTTAGTTTGATACAACAAGTTCTGGTTGTGGTGTTGAATGTGCGCGTGCTGGAACTGCGCATTGGCCATGGACTGGTTAACAGTTCCCTGCGCGTGCTGAGGGGGTGGTGGTGGGGTAGTGTCAACGAACCCGCCTCTGCCCAAGAAAGTCTGTTGGACTTGAGGAGGCAGGGGTTGCGGGTGCCTCAATGGCGGCTGCGGCATGTACGCAGGGGCACCCATCACCGGCGGATCGTGATGTCTGGCTTGAGGGAGAACCGGCTCAGCCTTGCCAGGCTGACCAAATGCCCACGACTGCGGTGTTCCGTCTGGCACGACAGGGAAGCCTGGCGGGGGTTGGTAGCTTTCCAGAGGCGCCCGTTGCTTGGGGTGGTGCTGGCCGTGAGGACTGTGCGGTTGCGGTGCCTCTCTGGTGGTATGATCGAGGGGCGTCTGAGGAAGCTGAGCAGTAGCCTGGTTCTTGGCCTGGAGAATAGCAAGCAACGACGCGCCCTTGTCCGAGCCCACATCTGGGGATGCAGGCTTCGAAGCTGCCTGCGCGGCTGTTGGCTGGACTTTTAAAAGTCGTTGCAGTTCCTGAGTTGCACCCTCGAGGGTGTCGATACCCGGTGTTCGGTTCGAAACATCGGTGGTAGGCTCCGTCTGCCAGACATCGTCCTCGGTGACGGGCTCCTCATGAAGCGAGTAAGGGTTGAAATGCGCCTCGTTGGCAGCCTTGACGGCGTCCTTCCTTTTCTGTTGCACAACCCATTTTTTGAGAGGGACCAGGAAAGGTGCGACCATGTAGAATTTGTTGGCGTTGGCAGCAGCAGCGGCATCGTTCTGGGGCTGGTTCCCCTTCTTACGGAACGCAGGAAGCTCGGAGAGCTTGTACCACTGAATCTTGCTGATCTCTTTCCTCGTCCGCGGCTGGAAATGAGTGTCCATTGGTACGTTGCGGAAAACGTAGAGCCTCAGTTGCTGCTCTCTCATGGTGACCTCGATATATTTGACGTCACCCCTGTTCTCAGGAACCAGGCCAGCGGCGTGCAAGTCGTAGCCGGTTTCCTCATAGACCTCGCGAACAGCGCATTCAAGATCATCTTCGTCCTTGTTGATCTTTCCACGAGGGAAACTCCAGTTTGCTCCCTTCTTCCAGCCCTTAACCAATATAGTCGAATCCATTGCCTCATTGAGCAGAATGGCTCCCCTTACGGGTACTCTCGTCTTGTACTGCAAGAACTCTTCAAAGGCTTTCGTGTGGTTCTCGACCGAAAACGGCGCCAACAGCGGACAATGCTGGAAGATGCGGAGACTGAAGCTTCTAAGGGTCATGGAGGGGAGCGTGGGATCGAGCGGGCGGACGAAGTCTTCGTAGAACCATTGTGCCTCTTCGATTTGGAAGCAAATGCGTGCAACGGACGACAGGTCTTCTTCAGGCAAGTTGATGATGAAGCGAACACACAGGTCGTCCAACCCTATCAATTGCGTCAGCCGTGTTGCAAGTCTACGACAAGGTGTGAGGGTGTGAGGCTGAAGGTAGCTGTCGCCTCTGCCAGCTGCCTGGAGTGTGGGGTAACCAACAGTCTTCCAGCTGCATCTTTTCTTCGGCCATTTTGCGCGATGGCTAGCAACATGTCCCCCACAAAAGGTATTTGATATGTGATTTAGTCGCCTGTTCCTGGCACTGCAGTAACGGCGGGAAGAAGGTCCTGGCGAGAAGTATGAGTTGGTTTCAAGGCGAGGAACGGCGATTGCATGGTACGGAGTAAGAGGCTTGGGTTCGGTCAGGCTCAAAGATTCCCCTCTTGCGACCGGAACGCGCCTGCTACAAGGAAATCGAGAATGGCGGGTGGTCCAGTGGGCTGGATTGGAATGACAGTTGAAGCGTGGCTAAAGTTTATTGTGTATCTCGGGGACGTTGGGATGCGAACACGTTCACGAGCGGCCTCTCTCGGGATGGTGGTGGGTTTGGTGGGTTTTGGTGGTCGGAGGATAGAAACGACGCAGTGCCTTCTGTGTTGACGATGGCAGACAAGGCAGCTAGCTGGTTTGGGCAGTAGAGGCTACGGTCAGGTTGGCGTCGGAAGCCTCCGCAGGGAAGTGGGAGGGACGTGGCACATGCTGTGTGGCTCATGATTGGACCACACTCTCCTCAGCTAACTCCTGTTCAAAATCGCACTGTCTATGTTGTCTGCATCATGCAGGATTCTACAGTGCGTATCGAGCTCGAGTCGAAACTGTTGTGGTATAGTAGCCCATTTCTCCAGCTTGTTACTATGTAAGCACATGAGATAAGCACGTCACTTCCGTCTGGCCTCGACCGGTCATTGCCAGCCATAGTGTATATCACGCCGCCTCTGCTTGGAGAGGCACTAAGCATCTGGCTCAGCAAGCAAGTCCCCCCAATCTCCTCCAACCGATTCCCCATTCATCCCGAGCTGGAAAACACCCGAGAGGTCGAGGCGTCGAAGCAAGGTCAAAAGAAATCTGGAGAAGTACTCAGCCACGATGCGGCTGTGTAGGTCACCTGCCACACTTGCGTGGCTGCAGCGGCTTCACTGTCAATGCCGACGCTGTCCGGCTGAAGAGAGCAGATTGTTCGAGCGGCGCCTTATTGGAGCCCAGCCGCCTGTTCGCTACAGCATGATGTGAAACACAGCGGTCTAGCCTGTCAGTGCCCCACTGAAGAGGCCTCTCGGAAGTGTGTAGAGTGCATTGGCGTGCAGTGACCGACGGAATTACATCATGGCCGCCGAATGGTCCCCTGACATGTCAAAACAGGAATTTGGCACAGCGGCTTTGAAGACGTTCCTGCTGTATGTTACGTAGGGGAAAAGAGGCAGCTTTACTGGAGTGACTCGGACCCTGCATAGCCATGGTTCTCACTTTTCTTATAATTCCTCGCCCAGTTGCCGCAGCCGGCTTGGGAGTTCTTGTTCCTCCCACCACAGTCACCTTTCACAACTATTGCCGATAGTTACTTTGTTTTAACGGCACCGAAACGCTACTCACTTACACGGCGCCCCCCTAAGACAAACGGCCGTCTCTGACTGTCTCAGTACGTCACTCATTACAGCGAGTGACTGGGAAGCGCATTGTCGCGCAACTATTTAGTTCGAGACTTCGGCACTCACCTGCGATCCATCAACGACACCGCTGCAAACATGGCAGGTCTTATTGCGAAATGGATCAGCAAAAAGATTCTGGCAGAGAAGGTGGAGAACAACTTTGGCCGCGAGGTATGGCTCACCTGAACGATGCGCTTTTGTTAATGACTGTAACTGACCTCATTACCAGGATCCCTACTTCGAGACCGTTCCCGCCACCAGGCTTGATGGCACCCCCACCGGCAAGGTCAAGAAGCGCAGAAAGGCTCTGCCGCCAGGGATTTCAAAGCAAGACGGAGAAGTTTTGACAAAGGTCAAGCGTCGAGCCTATCGTCTCGATCAGTCGCTGTTCACTTGTTGTGGTGTCAAATTTGGATGGGGCAGCGTCATCGGCCTGATTCCTGCGTGAGTACAACCGATCCCCTGTCGCACCATTCACCCCACAATGCTCTTGGCAGCCTGTCGACATCTGCTAACGTCGCATTCTGTCTAGCATTGGGGATGTTCTTGATGCCTTCATGGCCATGATGGTGTTCAGAACATGCTCAAAGGTCGAAGGTGGACTCCCAAATTCGGTCAAATCCAAGATGATGTTTAACATCATGATTGATTTTGTTATCGGCCTTGTGCCCTTTGTAGGGGATGTCGCTGACGCGGCTTTCCGCGCCAACACCAAGAACGCCATTGTCCTCGAGGAGTATCTTCGCGAGAAGGGAAAGAAGAACTTACGCCGCAGCGGAGCACCCATTCCAGCGGTTGACCCGAGCGACGCTGAAGAGTGGGATCGCTTGCAAGGAGACCGCACGCCGCCCGAGTATGTCAGCCGGGAGCCGTCTCGCAATGGACGCATGTCGTCGAGTCGTCAGCACTCATACAATGGACGCGCCCCAGCTGCGCCCGCCAACGCCGCGGTTAGAGACGAACGGGGTCGAGGCTGGTTTGGGTTTAGTCGGTCGAGAGCCGATGATATCGAGTCAGCCCGCGACCCTACCGATAGGCCAGCACCCCGAAAGTCGATGAGATGATTATATTGACTTGTACGAGCCGAAGGGCCGGTGCAGACAGCTCTGTATGTGAGGCGCTTCGACAGTGCTTTATAGTATTGGCTTTTTCTTCTTGCTTTGCCGGGGGGACGGCAATTTAAAGCCTTCTCACGACGCCCATCTTCAGGCGCGTCTTATTTATGAATGACTGGACGATTGAGCACGAACACGATGCGATAAATTTTCATTGGCATACCCACTTCGCGTTAGTTGCGCTCATAGATGATTAATGAAACACATGCACAAATAGTCTCGACGTATGCGTGACCGACTGTTCGAATTCGACGTCCGTGCCCAACAGGTAAAGGACGATCAGCACGATGATGATGAATCTGTAAACCCGCTTCAACATATCCACCAGCAGCCCAGAGTCACGCCCAGTCAGGATTTGTCAACGCTTAGATGAGATGGCATGGCTGTGAAGTCTCGGAGGACCGCCTAGGTTCCGCAGAGCGGAGCTTGGACGTATTCGGTTTTATCTGATCTGATCTGATAATCAGGGGACGGTGGGGAAACGCGTCGAGTCGTAACACCGAGGACGAAACCAGCAGAAAGGTGGGCGGTCGACAGATGGAGGAAATTGCCGGAAACTGGAGCGAGTGGAGACGCGTCGAGCCAGCGGAAGCTCTTGAGGTCTCGGGTCGCTGGGACAATGGAGCGACTTTTTTTACTCTTGGTTTCCTAGTCATGACATCGTGTTGCCTGGTTGATGTGCCGGGGTGGAACGCAGGCGGCTACATCAGCTCATGTCACCATTACAAATGGTGAAAAGTTTTAGAGAGGGAGGAGTAAAAAATGAGGGCTGGGCCTGACTTATCTCATTTTGGACCGTATGTTTGCAAGATCTGGAAGTGGAAAAGCGAGACGGGGCCACTTCCACATTGGCGGCGCATTGGAGGCACGCTGGCACTTTAGCAATGGAGCGAAACGCGCCGGTGATCGCGGTGGGGAGGGATGGTCCGAAGACGCGCTTTTTAATGGGGCTGGGGTGGTCGAGCCTGGAAGTTGGCGCGTGGTTCAGCGCAAAAGTAAACGCGGGACCCCCCTGCTACGCGTCCGGCGTGAAAGCGCTCTTACTTGGTACAAAAGCTCCTGCCTTTCCAGAGCTGTTCTCACACTCATTCTTCACTCTCAACCAGAAGACAACAGCCGCAAGAATACCACCGAGACGAACTTTACACTCTGAATTGATTCCTCACAAGAGTCTTCCTTACTTCAATCACCATTCTTGTCTTCGTCCCTCGCTCCTTTACCACACACTCTCCTCATTATGTCTGTTGAAGTCACTCCGTCCAAGCAGGTATGTCAAGTCACGCCAATCCGCGCCGCATCCCGGCCGCACCTCTCCCCACGCGCGTCCTTGAAATGCAATCACTAACATCCCTTTCTTCCAGGCCGCTGCTGCCCTCGATTCTTTCAAGATGGAGTCCCCCGTCAAGAAGCTCAACTTTAACGCGGCCGACAAGGAGAACCAGCCCCTCGCTTCTGACGTTGCCCCCGCAACCGAGAACACCGACCTCCAGACTAAGCCTACCCAGGAGATTGCGAAGCAAGAGGCAAAGCCTGTTGTCGTCCCCGGCATCAAGGAGCAGGAGATGGACGAGCCTTTGCTCCAGGAGAACGGCCAGCGCTTTGTTCTTTTCCCCATTAAGTACCATGAGGTATGTTTCAACTCGGACGCGTCTCGGACGCGTAAAGTGGTTTTTTTGCACGTGCGAACCTTAATTGACTTTTCGTGACGCATAGATCTGGCAGATGTACAAGAAGGCCGAGGCCTCCTTCTGGACTGCAGAGGAGATTGATTTGTCTAAGGACCTGCACGACTGGAACAACAAGATCAACGAGGATGAGAAGTACTTCATCTCGCACATTCTCGCCTTCTTCGCCGCTTCCGACGGCATCGTCAATGAGAACTTGGTCGAGCGCTTCAGCGGCGAGGTTCAGGTGCCCGAGGCCCGTTGCTTCTATGGCTTCCAGATCATGATGGAGAACATCCACTCCGAGACCTACTCGTTGCTCATTGACACCTACATCAAGGAGCCGGCCCAGCGCACGTACCTCTTCAACGCCATTGACACAAGTATGTGAACCCCATCCCCCACGCCTCCAATTGAGCACGCGTCTGACTTGCCATCACAGTTCCTTGCATTCGTAAGAAGGCCGACTGGGCTCTCAAGTGGATTAGCGATGAGAAGTCCTCCTTCGCCCAGCGCCTGGTTGCATTCGCTGCCGTCGAGGGTATTTTCTTCAGTGGCGCCTTTGCCTCTATCTTCTGGCTCAAGAAGCGTGGTCTCATGCCCGGTCTGACCTTCTCCAATGAGCTTATCTCTCGTGACGAGGGTCTGCACACCGACTTCGCCTGCCTCTTGTACTCTCACCTCAAGAACCGCCCCAGCAAGCAGGTTATCCAGGACATTATTGTCGACGCTGTCCAGATTGAGCAGGAGTTCCTGACAGAGGCCCTTCCTTGTGCCCTGCTCGGCATGAACTCCAACCTGATGAAGCAGTACATTGAGTTCGTCGCCGACCGCCTCTTGGTTGCCCTTGGCAACGACAAGGTCTACAAGTCTTCCAACCCCTTTGACTTCATGGAGAACATCTCCCTGGGCGGAAAGACCAACTTCTTTGAGAAGCGTGTTGCCGACTACCAAAAGGCTGGTGTCATGAACAGCACCAAGAAGGCACAAGAAGAGACCACCGAGGGTAAGGGAGAGAACGGCGGTGACTTCGCCTTTGATGAGGACTTCTAGATCAGGAGCGTCCAAAGTTTCTGTCCTGTTCTTTCCCCCCACATATACCCCTTTGTACGTTTGCATAGGCACGCATGGTGTTTGCCAGCGCAGCTTTTCACACTCCACACCTCAATCACCTCTCAATGAGTTAGGGCATAGAGTTTTTTGTTTCTTTCCTTGTCGTACATACATGGCGTTGGCGGGGATTCTACAGGGAGTTAAAGGCTCCCAAGGGCTGGTCGATTGGATGACCGTGGAACATGGGGGGCATAAATGTCTTTGATGGATAATGTACTGCAGTGAACTTTATTTAGAGCAATCGCATACGGCAAATGAACCAAACCAACTGTCCCTATGATTGTATGAGGATATGTCATTTTGACTGGTAGCATGAGTTACACTGCAACTCTTGACCAGTCCAGTCACGATCTGTCCATTTTTTTACGCCTTGAATGAATGAAGTGTGCATGCACCTGAGTCCTACAGTTGCCTTCTAGCAGACCACCTGATCTTTTGATGCCATACTCAAACTTGAATAAGTCTAAAATTGGTCAGAATCCTCGAGTCGCACATTTCGACGCTCGCTCTCCCAAAAGTAAGTGACTATACCTCCGTACCTGTCCAGGACTCTCAATCCCTTCACACCCACTCATTTCTTGCCTTTCTTCTTCTTCTTCACACCTCCGCCGCCGGCGCTAGCCGGCGTCGGCGCGCTAGAAACACCGCCGACGGGCGTATCCTCTCTGGCAGCTTGGGCTCGGGCAACACCGCCAGCCAAGTTGGCGGCATCCGCCATCGGCTCATCCTTGACCTCGACGGGCGCCTTTGAGGTCGACATGGTGCGGCCCAGGGTGCCGAGGCAGGTGACGAGGCGAGAGACCTCGGCTGCCTTGGTGGTGCGGTACTTGAGCGTGACGCCGCTGGCTGGGTCGAACGTCTTGAGGACGAGGGAGCCACGGGGCGGTTTGGCGTCCGTCATGGGGGCGTCTTCGGTGACCGTGGCATCTTCCGTCAGTGTCTTGGTCTTTCGCGGTTTAACGGGTTGTATCGAGTATTTTGTTGTGATTCTGGTCTGGTTGAGGGAAGGAGCACATCGTCACTAGTTAGCCAAGGGGCCTTGAGTTTGGGAGAAAGGGCGAGGAGATGAAGCGGAGACGAAAGCAGGTCGGGATGAAGACTTACGGTTGCTGGGCGGGCTTGGAGGAGGAGCGAGGACTGCTCCAGCCATTCCTGGCTGGTCTTGTAGGTCGGCATTGCGTGGTGTGGTAGTCGGCCGGAGTCTTGCGCGCTGCTGGTCTGTGTGTTGTAGGGTGTGCGCACCGCTATTGTTGCCTTTTTTATATGTCCGTCGATGCGATGAGGAATTCGGAGAAGGCGCGATTCGTGCTGGGTAGAGCCAACGGTTGTTTGCAGGGGAGTGTGAATTGCGCCGTGCTGGTTGGTCGAGGGGTGACGTTCGGCGTCTTGGAGGTGATAGGTTAGTGTGGCCTTGTCGGTGGAGGATGCAATTTTGGTGGGGTTCTGCCAAAGCTGCTTCGGAATTGTGCATGGGATGTTATGAGGGGCAGCGAGCGCTCAGCCGCACAACGCCCAGAGCTACATAGCACTACTTCGTTTTACACAGTGGAGCACGAATTTACGGCGAAGCTCATAATGATTTATCGTTCAACACAGGTTTTTACTTTTTAACACGGATTGGGTATCTTTTATCCTAGACTCCGAAAATGATTGACATTTCTTAGTTAGATCGCACCCCCCCCCCCCCCCCCCCCTTCCAGCTCCTATGCCTTCTCCATCATTTTGGTGAGTTTCATGCATGAGGATCAGGCACCCAGAAGAGGACTTCTTGATCGGCAGTCGCAAAGAAGTTGTAGCGCGGGTTGAAGGCCATCACCGCCGCCTCCCGCTTATCCTCCAGGGTCCAGGATGGGTTGAGAGTCCTCGTGTCGTTCTGCGGCGCCGTCAATGTGTCCCAAACCAGCACGTCCTTCTTAGAACCGCTCAGGACGTACCGGCCGTCCACAGAAAAACAGCACTCTCCGCTACTCTCCACCGCCGGCTGCTCTGCTCTGGACGTCCTGTTAACGTTGCTGGTGGTCGTCTCGCCCGCAGCCAAACGTCGGGATCCGCCCTCAGGCTTGAGCAGGTATGCCTTCAGGCTTCCGTCGAAAGCGTCCAGTAGGAAGTGGCCACTGCCGCGTGTACCTACGAGGATGTGCTTTCCGTCGTTTGAGAATTCCAACTTCGTCCAACCCCTGACAACGAATTGGGGGTCAACATGCCGTCCGACTTCAACAAGATCGAAGGCTGCGAATGGCGCCTTATCATAGTTGCGGCAGTCGTAGAGCAAGACGGTACCGCTGCTTGGAGAAGCCACTGCAAAGATCTGACCTGAGGGGTCGTACGCGGCAAGGTATGGAGAATTAAGGTTCAATTGACCGCACCACTGCTTCGTCGAAATGTTCCAAAGGCGCACAGTATTGTCTTGGCTGCAGGAAATGAAGTTGTCGGCTCCCGGGTGAACAGCAATGTCCGTGACACTTCGTTCGTGGCCTTCAAAGTATCGGATGAAGGAGTTGTCGTGCGTCGCCAGGTACCGGATCTGGTCTACGGGCGTCATCAGCAAACGAACAGCGGCTCTGGGTCCAGGATTGCTAACCGTTCTGTTTCGTACTCGCATAGATGATGCTGGAGCTGGTGTGCGTGAACCGCGCCAATTTGACACCGTACTTCTTACTGAGTAAACTCTTGTCATGTCGACCGTCCTTGACGTTGTAAATTTGAATAGTCTCGTCGCTTTCGGAGGTCATGAGAAGCTCGCCGGGGTCGTCGAAGTCGAGTGATAGCACATGGGGCTGCGGGCGGCCATCTTTGATATCGTCTCTCTTAAACAGCTACAGCATGGTCAGGAAAGCTTTCAAACAGCCCTGCCGCTTCCTCTCCATACCTTTGTCGGGCGAAACGAGGGAATGACCTCGCTCAGTTGTGTGGTGTTGTTGGTTGCTAGGGAGCGCGTAATGTTGAGTGATGTTCCGTTAGCTGGGGTTGACTCTCGATAGTCAAGGTCCATAGGTGTTGAAGCCATGGCAGGCAGCTATGTGGGAAGTGCAGGTAGCTTTCCTGCCTCGATTGGTCGGACAACCGTTTTCAGTGTTCGTGTCGCAAAGATGGAAGCCAGCTTGGTGCTCCGCTTTACGTCCGCCTAAGGGCGAAATCAGTAACCGTACTGTCTGGGCCCTGTGGCCTGTTCCGAACTAAAGCGATGTGATGTGTCCTGTCGGAGAAAACGGTATCGTGAAATAGTCGTGTCAGTAACGTGTGTGCTTAAGCGTATCGCGCCTTCCAAGTCCATGCGACAGATATACTGAAATCTGGGGGCATGCGAGGATGGAGCTAACTGCGCCACTTCAATGTGTACAGCACCACCCTGGAGCAGACCTTATCGTACCTGTAGGTAGTATGCTGCCAATCACCAGCCACAACAACGCGACGCCCTGCTCAGCGGGCAGCCTCGCCGATGACGCCTGACCAGGCCCATGGGAAACTACCTCTCAGGTACCTAAGTACTTACTACTTACGGATACTAAGATAGGTATCTAGTTTGGTACCTAGCTCGTCAGGGTCCGGGGTAGCGATTCTGGCCGCTGAAGCCTGCGAACCCTGGCAACTAGCATCAGCAAACGCCGGGATCGGCAATGGGCAATGGCTATTCACGGCCGGACTGACTTTGACAGAAAAATGATTCCCACTTCCTCTTCCGCGCGCGGAGCTCGCTGAACCACCCAAAAGAGTCAATCCGTCCCATCAGCATGCCTGACGCTCCTTAACCCATACCCATCCCCTATCGCCAACTCTCATTTCAAGAGGTGCGCTTCGTACGGCTTGCGGCGACTTTGCTCTTTGGCCGTAGCCATATCATGTAAGACTTGAACAAATTTTATCACTGGCTATCAACATGCCACGATGTTCTCGTTGCTGACCCGCGCGATTCCGCCACCTAGGTCCTAGCATTCCGAGATCGCGCTGCCACTCTTCCTGTTCCCGATTGCCAATTTATTCGCCATTCAAAGAAGCAACACGTTCAATTCATTGATACTCCCTTTTCTTGATCTGTGCGACGTTATTCATAGGCACAATGTCAACAACACTGGGGCAAGTTGCGGCGCGCAGATCGGCATCCGCGAGACCTGCGATGCTAACCTTCGCAACAGCGCCTTCATCGCCGGCGGCATTGCGGCTTGTGGCGCCGTAACGGCCACACATCCCTTCGAGACTGTCAAAATCCGGTGCGTCTGAGCGACGCTCGTCTCTCTCCGTTTCCCGCCGCCCGCGGTGCGCTGACCCCCCTTCGACGTATGCAGAATGCAATTGCAAGGAGAGTTGAAGGACAAGGGACACCAGCCGCACCAGTACAGAGGCCCTCTGCAGGGCGTGTCTATCATTGTACGGAATGAAGGCGTCAGGGGCATCTACCGCGGCCTCGGTTGCGCCTACATTTACCAGGTTCTGCTTAACGGCTGCCGTCTGGGTTTCTACGAGCCGATGCGCGAAACCCTGACGACGCTTGTCTTCAACGACAGCAAGACCCAGAGTCTGGGTATCAACATGGCCTGCGGTGCTGGATCTGGAATCATGGGCGCTGCCGCCGGCAGTCCTTTCTTCCTCGTCAAGACCCGGCTGCAGAGTTACTCACCCTTCATGCCCACGGGCACGCAACACAACTACCGCAACGCTTGGAACGGAATGGCCTCGATCTACGGCTCCGAAGGTATCCGTGGACTCTACCGTGGTGTCGGCGCGGCCATGATCAGGACTGGTTTCGGAAGCTCCGTGCAGCTGCCCACTTACTTCTTCGCCAAGCGGAGATTTGTTCGCCATCTGGGCATGGAGGAGGGCCTTCCTCTGCACCTTGCTAGCAGCACCGTCAGCGGCTTCGTTGTTTGCTGCGTGATGCACCCCCCTGGTAAGAGTTATCTGTACACTAGCAGCGAGGGTCTGCTTGCTAACATCTCCGGCAGACACTATCATGTCTCGCCTTTACAACCAAAACGGAAACCTCTACAAGGGCGTCTTCGACTGCCTCGCCAAAACGGTCCGCACCGAGGGCTTTCTGGCCATTTACAAGGGTTTCTTGCCTCACCTGGCTAGAATCCTCCCCCACACTATCCTGACCCTTACCCTGGCGGAACAGACCAACAAGCTGATGAGGAAGCTTGAAGACCGCATCCTGCCAACGGCCGCCCTGCCCAACCCATAACCGGCATCCGATCTTGTTTTTATCGTATCAGCGTTCCTTGCATATATGGAGTTAAAAAATAGGCTCGGCGGACGAAATGGATATTATAATCGTAGCCGGTGTTTGGCTCGCCCAGTATATTTAGGGGTGTAGGAAGAGACGAGGCATTGTATAGGTCCACGTCCCGCATTTGAAAGAGGCGCACTTGCAAGTGTCTCTCTATTGAATTTATCCATATATAGACCGTTCGCAGCCGTAACACATTCGTCCTGCAGTCTGCTTCCTCCTGTCATTGTCGTCGAGGTGTTCTCCGATCTCCCCCTTCCACCTGACCTCGCCCTGTTCATCCAAGTCCATGCCACAAACAGCACACGCATCGCCATCGTTCTCACGGGTAAGCTTGGCGCTCGTGCGGACAACGTTGGCAACGACAGAGGGGTAGCTCTCCTCCACCTCCTCAAAGTAACGTGCCATAACATCCTCGATGCTTAACTCCTTGTGAGAGACGATGGTGCTACTGCCCTGCCCAGCATCTCGGATGAGATCCTTCATGGGCGGTTTGACCAAGCCGACATACGTGACGATCTCCCGCCTGAAGACGTCCCGAAGAAGATAATACACCGGGATCGTTGTCTTTTCCTTGGCACCCGCAGCTTTGCCCTCTGCACCCTGCCGCGAAAACGTCGTGACGGGGACGGGGCCATTGCCGACCTGCCACGGCACTGCGAAACCCCGCCCCTTGGCCGTCTCCGCGAGCGTCAGCTCGGCGAGGGCGGTTGTGGTGCACCCCAGCATCAACGCGTGACACCCGCTCTTCAGCGCCAACGACAAGAGCAAATGCCGCACCAATAACCTCATGATGTCCACCCGCGAAGTGACGGAAGGCAGGGCCTCGATAAGCTCTTTGACCTGCAATGCGGGGACCAGGTCTGTCCGCAGCGCAGGCAGAACGGACCAGTCTATCGTGTCAAGGGCGAGAGCATCGCTCAGCGGCACGGTCTGCATCGAGATGTTGGGAAACCGTTCCTTGTACTTCTCCAGGAGCTGGCTTGCCGCTGAACCCTCAGCTGAGGAGGTGGATGCCGCCCCTGAGACGTCGGTGTCGATGTGGACCACATGCACCTCGTACGCGACACGCAGATTCTTCTCCTTGAGGCCCTGGAGGTTCGCGTCAAGCAGCTGGACTAGCGAGGCCGACGAAGAACCGAAGGAGAGGCCGAGGAGATACTTCGCCTTTATAGCAGGCGTTGTGGCTATCCTCTCCTTGATGTCTTTATACGGCTGGGCAAGGCGCTTGATGACTCGCTGGGCGATATGTTGCTCATAGCAGGGCCTGCGCGGCCTGTGAGCTTCCTGAAGGGTGACGTTATCAATCTCGACAACAATGGTCATACTTACTCGCATAGAGGGTCCTTCCTCACTGTCAGGACGGTGGGCGTCTTGCATCGCCGACAGGGGCGAGGTTCAGTGTTACTGCTCATCGTCACGGGTCGGACCGCAACAGTAGGCGACGCTGAAGGTGGTATAACTGGCACAGTCTCAAGGCCTTGAGCGTTGTCCAGATCAAATCGATTTACACGTAGTCCCCTAGGGTGATGAATATAAATAAGCCTAGCGAGTTGTTGGGTATGTTATCGTTGTTGGCCAATGAAGAAAGGTTCTAGGTTCCGCCACTCGAGTTGACTCAGATGGTCTTTGGTGCGGTGTCGGTTTTTTTTTTTTTTTCCCCTCCGGACTCAGCTTTCTCCATACTGATCACCCAAACAGCTCACTACATACAACCTTCCCCTTTCGGCGATATATCCAAATGACCCGGCCGACCATCTTCCCTGATGGCTCACTGATATATTTCCGACCATTGCTTGTTTATTTGTCTCCTTGCCACGGTCTCGTCTGGTTCCAACTGGTAGCAGCATGCATCAAAATCATGAGCGTTCGTGGCTCAGCTAGGTTACAGTTAAGCCAAAGTCGGTGTTGCTCCGTGATTGAAGATGCATGCTTCTGTTGCCAGGAGGTTTTGTCCAGTGCTATCTCCAAGGCATCAGTATGTCATAGGCTTCATTAGTATGCAATAGGTTTCATCACTCGCACGCATTACACATCATCGTACACAAGCGCATTTGGTACCTCATGCCAATTCCAGCTGGGTTTAGGAGAAGATACAACTCAGAGGATGAGACTCGAAAAATGCACGATTCTTATCCCACGCATTCAGTACCAAATCCCGTCCCTCGGAGGCCACACTCTTGATCTGTTCTTCCGTGCCCCAATCCTTCACAGTCGTGCCGAAGCTGATGAGATGAACACCAACATGAAGCAAAGTTCTAAAAGCAAACTCATCATCGACTGCACCGTAGCCCTTTATGAAGCCCTGAATCAGCCACCGCCCAGCATCCATGTCCTTGTACAGCTTTAGCTCATAAAGCTCCGCAATCATCTGACCCAGGTCGAGGGGAGTAACGCCAAGCATGCACATCTCCCAGTCAACGACAAGAATGCGGTTGTGTTCCTTCTCCCAAGGCTGATCTTCTAAGAGGATACTGCGGTTCCATAAGTAAGAGCAATTAAATATATAGACAAGACACTTACTTTCCAGTCCAAAAATCGCCGTGGATAACCTGCAGTTTATCATCATTCTCCATCTCTCTTGTTGCTTTATCCGCAATAGCCGTCAACGTGCTGGCGCACTCGCAAAGAATAGACGGAAACCGCTCGATAGAGCTGGGTAATCTCACGTAGTTCACCCAGTTCTTGAGCTTCTGCATCTCCTTGTTTGTTGCCGCAACATCGCGAAACTTTCGCTGCTCCGGGGAGTTGCTCCATTCGTGAAATGCTCGAAGCCATTTGCCTATACCCTGACCAATGTCGAGGCATTGCGGTTCCATCGATCCGGAATCCGAAGCCCCGAAGTATTGCAAGGCATAGTTCTTAAGGCTCAGCGGACTCGGCTGGTACTCTTGAACTTGCGTGTTCGTCTTTTCGTTGAAATAAAATAGCTTGGGCGTCATGACGCTGAGCTTGTTGCCCGCGCTCGGCGGCAGGGCAGAGAGATATTCCAAACATGACACCTCAGTCCGCTAACGGATATTAATCCAGGGTGGAAGTTTATTGGGTGTAAGGAGGCTCACGCATCGTGTTGTGGGAAGTTTGAAGTCCGGATTCTGAGCTAGGAAGCCCTCGCCGTGCTTCACGGCCACCTCGGCTGTTCCATCAGACAAATGTTGCACCAAGCTCACATGGTAGATAAAGTTCGCCGTCCCTCCACTGAGAAGAGTGGCGCCCTTAAAGTGGTACGGAGTATTGGCCAATTCCTCCCGAACCTCTCGCAAGATGCGATCAGGGATGTCGTTAGATGCCATGGCCACGAGGAAGTGCGTCGAAACCCTGACGGGATAGAACGCGCCAGGAATGGCTGGCCTGTTGTTACAAAAGAGAGGTTGTTCCCTCGATTCGACAATGATATAGTGCCCAAGGTTTTCCGTGTATATCCTGCGGTGTTCTGCTTGAAAAGCAAAATGTGAATAGTGAACGAGGAGTTCAGAGAGTATTTGAGTGAATGAAAACGCATCATGGTTCGCAGTGCACGGCTGGTTCGGCTTAGGCCTGCATCTACCACATAGGTACATAGAGAAGGAAAGGCAGTAATGAGCTGTGAACAAGTGCCGATGACTCATTCGGCGTGCGACGCCATCTAATGGCAACTTCCACCTTGCCCTTCAATTCAAGAGTCATCGACGAGAAGCAGTTACCAGAAGCCTGCAGCCAATTAAGCAACGTGCAACCGAAGAACAGTCATTGGAGTCAGGTGCGATAAAATGCATGCCTGGGGTACGCAATAATGGCTCTGTCAGCCCGACTCGCTTGAAGATCGACTATGTAACAAACAGGAGGTACTGGCGATTCTTCATTTGAAAAGAGCCGAAGTCTAACAGATTCCACGTGTTCCATAATTTCATGTCGTGTATACGCAGAAGTCAGAGGAGAGCAGGAGCAGGTACAGGGGTGATTGCCTTGGGTACTTAGCTTCGGCAGATCAAACGACACATGCAACCATTAACCCCTCTGTGTCAAGTGACTGATGTTCTCCATAGGTCAGACACCTCAAAGCTTTACTGGGTGGCCTTGCGGTTGACTTGAGACGACAGGAAGCATAACGCTGCTGTCCACCCACGAAAAGAATGGATAGGTATTCCGCTTGGGATGAGCTGTTCAATCCGTTCAGCCACAAAAGCACGTGTGATCAACGGCGGCCAGCCACCGGGCCGCGCCGAGCTTGTGCACCAACGGCCAGATCTTGATCGGACTCGGGGTTGGGCGCCACAAGAGGAGGGGGTTTAGAGCTGTGGCGATGAAGCTTATCTGTGCACCTCACCGCTCTTCCAAGGTCCCAGCTGATACTCTTCTGCTCGGATGGTAGAGGAGAACAGATCCTGTGCACGAGAAAACAGACTTGAACCGAGGAGAAAGTTGGCTAACTAGACCATAGACGTACGATACCGAAGCGCGCTAGGACATGTTCCAATGCAGTCGGGATGGGGGAAACAAACATGTGGTGCTCAATCAAGTCTGAAGTTACTCTTGGATGTTTACTTGAGATCAAGTACGGATACCTACCCTACGTGGACACGCAATGCTGGGAAAGTGTGTAAGAGTCGAGGAAAAGTACAAATACAAATGGAGCAGACGAGCCACATGTTCGGACCGTTAGAGGACAGTGTACATCGGATAAACCAAAAACACGCACGGCGAGACCATTTGTATAGGTGGCTATGGGCCATGGCAGATGAGGTGGGATGGGAACGGTCCCAGCGGAAGCGACCCGTACTATCAACGACCGAGGATCATGAACCAGCCGACAAGGAGCAGCGGTGCCGGCGCAGTGGGTGCAGCTACGATGAGACAACAGCCCCCTTTTCCATCTTGTTTGAAGATTGGTGAAAAGGGCTGGATATTGGCCGGGATCACGTAAGGGGAGTTGCACCCCAACCACTTGATCAAACGGTCTTCGGGGGTGAAACGGGGCGGTGCTAGTCGTTCGGTGCTTTTTACCCACTTCTTGACACGCCATTGGAGATACGTAGTATGTATCGCGCACTAAGTACGGAGTACTTTTCCTCCCCCCCCCCCCCCCCTTCTTCCTGTAAGTTACCTACCTGTCTTACCACTGAGGTGGTGTGAATCTCCCTCTCTCTCTCTCTCTAGACATGATAGGCCATGTGCTGCGAGCTGTGAGGTGCTGGACCAGGGAAGACCTGGCGGTCCTGCAGTCCAACTGATGTGAAACGTTCCTTGGAATTCAATGTAAGACTGCGAGCAAAGCTTCCATCGAATGCTCCCAAATGCTAAGCTGCATTAGCGCCCATGTCTACCAACCACCCCTCCCCTGTCTCCCAAGCCTGTCATCATAAAGGTTCCTCTTCCATTTAAAATCGGTGGCTGTCAACCACTGATATTCGAGCTGGTGAGCTGGCCTGAAGTCCACACCCAATTGGTTCTAGCCGTGGCCCAGTCAGCAACTCCCCCATCAGGTACCTAAGTACTGCGTACTTTGTTTATTCTATTTTCTTGTATGTTCTTGGAAGTATGGTCCGGCGCAGAGCACTGCAGCGCTCGGTGGGCGCGGCGGTTCTATGTACTAACACTCACAGCACAGGGATAAGAAGAGCGAGACGAGGTACATTGAGATGACGGGCTCACGAGACTTACCCCGAAGGAGAGGCCCTGTCCCTGGGACCATCTTCATTTTATCGACAGCCAGCGCCACTATAATACATTGCATATTGAGAATGCCCCACTTCCTAATTTCGTCCTTTCTGCGTGTATTCTGATCACTCAAGTACCAGGCTTCGGGAGAGGGGTAGGGAAGCCGAACCTGCTTTTTTTTTTGTCTGCGACATCGTTGTGCCGATCAACGCCCCTCTCAAAGCTTAACTCTTGCACCACCGCAATAATAACATGCTGCTTCTAGGTGGTGAAGCTACCGTATGTATTCGTAACTCACCTCCCTCGAGGGTCGAGACAGGGTAGACTTTGGTCACCGCCCATCAGAACCTCCTCTGTATCGTCACTCTTGCTGTCTCGTCGTGTTGTCCCTCACATTTGTGCACTCGTTCCCGCCGCTTCCGCACCCGCTCCCGCCTATGTCATTTTTCCCTCCTATTCTTCTGCCGAGTCTCGAACCAACCGCATTTGCATACCAGCGTACCTCCTTGACCCATTATTCCCACACCTCTCTAACCTGGAAGAAGCGAGGCTCATTCCGGCATCTCAATTTCGACAACTTTCACCCTTTCGCCTTAGCTTCCCCTGCGTCACTCGGTTTATTTTATTTTACGCACTGCATCCACCGCCGACCACTCTCACCGCATGTCAACATTATTGCATGCCTACCTAGGTACTGGACTGCGCATACTACTCTGTCCTGTCTCAAACATCCAGCTATTATTGCCGTGTTCCCCTTCTCGTCAATCACTTCTTCTCTCCCCTCTCTCCAAACCCAAGATCCGGCTCCTTTTCTTGGCGTCTCAAGTTTCACTACTGTCAAATACCTGACCACAAGCCTCTCGAACGTCTACACAATCCGTGGAAGAAGAAAAAAACAAAACATAAAAAAAAGTGAGCAGGAGTCGCACAGCATACTTCTCCTCTTTGCCCCCCTTTTCCACTTCGACACACAAACATCGCGCGCGATCTGTCTCGTTCCGCCTTGCACATTCGTTTCTACGTTTCCACAGGCATCTGAACACTCTTCTAGCTCTCTTTCTGTGGCTCTTCGCAAGGGCAGCATAAACACGTCACCGGTCAGGCCCAGCAACACTGCAACAATCTGCAAGGGCACGATAGTAAAGCCACCGACACACGGCTTCCACTTTGATATATCCACTTCCAGCCACCTCGACTTCTGCCTCGTCCGGTATCCGACCTTGCCTTGCGGGAAGCCCCTCCGTTGTTTTGTGCCCATACCGATAGACCGGGGATATTGCCTCCTAGGCATTTCTCACTTGTTTGCTCACCCACCGCCGCATTTTCCCTCAAATTCCTCACTATACTCAGCAACGCCATCCACCATATTTGCCCAATTAGCCTGTCGTCCCTTCGCTTGTCTGGAGGAACTCCGAATGGGAGTACCATTGATGCGCAACTGCACGCGACTGCTATCTCACTTACATCCACCACGGCCTGACTCGAATCGACCTCGCCATGACGATGGCTCAGCCGCAGCTGCAGCTGCCCACACCGCATCCGGCACCAGGCCTGGATGTCACTATACCACCGGTCTCGATATCTCTACCCAATGATGCCAATGCAAGATTACGAAGCCGTATAGCTCTCGATACCTACTCGTCACCCGTTAATCAGAATGGCAGCTTCGAGTTCGACCGCGTCGTGAAGAGCGGCTACCTGCAGAAGCGCACGCAGAAGACAAAGGTTTGTCCAACACACAATCCCCTTGCACCTTACAATGTTGCTGACCAGTTATGCAGGCCTGGAAGTCAATCTACCTCGTACTGCGACCCAATGCGCTCTCCATTTACCGAACCGACAAGGAGGACAAGCTGCGACATAAGCTGTACCTAGCCGACCTGACGGCTGTCGCTTTGCTCAAGGACCCCAAGAACAAGAAAAAGAACGTGTTCGGGCTGTTCTCGCCAGCGAGGAACTACCACCTCCAGGCTAGCAGCAGCCACGATGCCGAGGAATGGGTCGAGTTGATTAGGAACCATGCTCGGATCGAGGAGGAGCATGAGGAGCTGCTCCTCGCAAGTCCAACAGGGAGGCGCCAGTCCTACATGGCGATTGGCAGCTCTGGCCCAGTCGGAGAGACGAACAAAGCCGAGAGATTGGCGTCAAGCTCCCCAGAACCGTTTGAACCCCCGGTGCCACGCTTTGTTGGGTCAACACATCGACGTCCATCCCAAATGGCGGATACCGCTGGTTATTCCGGCAATGAGCTCGCGTCACACTCCGACTTTTCCGATAATGACATTCAGCGGATACAGGGTATGTCAATCGAAGACTTGGCGGTACAATCGCCGGATGAGGGGTCACAGGGCCGACCAGGCCTGGGCCGCAACACAAGCCAGGTTAGCGGCCTGAACATCGAGCAGGATCCGGATCGCGTCATCTGGCAGGGCTGGCTCTGGTTTCTCAAGAGCAAAGGCGGCGTGAAACAATGGAAGAACCTGTGGGGTGTCCTCAGACCACGAAACTTCATCCTCTACAAGGATGAGTCCGAGTACACAGCGCAGTTCATCAGGCCCATGTCGGCAATTGTCAACGTGGTTGACATTGATCCAGTCAGCAAAACCAAAAAGCATTGTCTCCAACTCATCACGGAGGAGAAGAGCTATCGATTCTGCGCCCACGACGAAGAGTCGCTGATACACTGCCTCGGCGCGTTCAAGAGCTTATTTGCCAAGCGACGAGAGCTCGAAGCGCGGGGAACCGTAGGAGGAAACCAACCCACACCTGCAGCATGAAGCTGCATACACTTGGCAACCCACGGAATTGCTTTTTAAATATTGAGCGGGAGTTTTGCCATACCACCTTGTTTTCTTTGTTCACGACGCATGATGCAACGATGCATATATGGGAATTTGCGGAGCCTGTCAAAACACACTTGCCTTGCTGCGGGGAGAGCCACCCAGCTGTAGCTATAGTCAAAGAGTTGAGGGATCACGGGCTTACCTGGCTGTGCATTCTTTGATATCTAGCTGATTACATGCGCATTTGACATGGTAGCATACCCTGGTATGATATTTCGGCAGACTGGGGCTGCCGAAGGTCTCAAAGCGAGGCAGATTATGAGTAATGATGAATACGAATTAGCATTTCAAACCACTGACTGACGGTTCTTGTGGCCACTGTGTGAAATTAGTTATTGTGGTGCTGACCGGCCGAAGGCAGTTCTGGGTATTAGTTTGGTCGAACGCCAAGAAATGCGACGAAATGACTATAATTTCTAACCATCGCCCAATGATCTGCATCAAACCAGACCAGAGAGGCTTGGTTGGAATCGACAGTAATCAAAAGCCGGTCGAACCAATGATATCAAGGGCGACACTCGATTTCAAGAGACGGCATGGGAGTTCTCCAAGATGGGGAGGGAGAAGTTTGCAACGCACTCATAGCTCCGGAACTATACATAGGTACACATAGCTTTGTGAGTAGAGAGATTGTAGCGAATGGAAGTGGCGTATATAGCTCAGGCCAACCCCAGGGCGCTAGCTCGGTCGGGTGACGCGGATCTCTTTTTCGGATGGTCCTATCACACGGCGCGTCAGCCACACCAACCCTCGCCCCCCTTCACCTTCGCCGGATCATTAGGACGTTAGGATGCTACAGAATGCTGCCCCCTATTCCAACCACATCTCCAGATGGCCCCCTCATAGGATGCAGCTCTTGGTCCCCACGGCTATGCCGTCCCTGACCCTCGATACCCAATCTTGTGCCATAACGGCCATGTGGCCTATAGATGGAGACTAAGGGGTGGAGATATCCGTCCCTGCCTTCCTGGCAAGAGCGAGGAAGACCCGGTGAACGCAGGCCGCCGCCCAAAGGCCGTTGCGCTCTTGAAAGTGTGTGCTAGCTGCTTCGAACTATACTGGACCCCTGGGCTTCTTTTGCATGCGAGGCATGACCCTGCTCAAGCTTGCTACGGTCGAATCAGCGTTCTTCGTCCGATGTTTCTGCATGTTCATGACGAGTTCTAACCGGTCGGGTTGTATCGCCAAGCGGGCGAGACGAAAGACGGCGGAACTGTGGTGGCGGTCGCGAAGACGGTATTGTCGCTACTCCCTTCTGTTTGGTTGACCACCCGAGGCAAGGTGAGATGAGCGGTGGAGGCCTCGACAGGTCAACATAGGGTCGCGTGTTGGCGTTGGGCGCGTGCGGTTCGAGTGACTATGTCGTAGATTCATTGCCACCATGCCTTCACGTCCATCAACGGGGACCCTTGCGAGAAGCTGCTGTGGTATTCTGTGTTGGTTCTTTTTCTCAAAAGTTCTCAGCTGCCCAGCACGACAGCCCTCGTGGGATTTCGGTTGACTTACACACTTCTCAGACTGATCCGGTCACCATATATGATTATGTGATATGGTCGATGTCTGATTGATATGCACCCGCTATCCTCGTTACTTCGCTCGCTTCTGTTCTGCTTCTACTTGCTTACTAGAACTGAGCTTGCTCGCTTCCCGCTGTCCAAATCGACAAACCACCCAGCCAGCACCTATAGGATCGTCTAGCTTCCTTCCACCAACATACCGTCTAGGGAACCCGATAGCTGGGCAGCTTAGATTAGACTAGACTAAACGGTAATAACTACCAGTCAACGTCGTTTATATCGGAAGTCCATCTTCATGGGGCTCATTCGTAGCGTCTGGGCTGTGTGTGCCCTCCTTCTCTCTGTCCATGCCCAGAAGCCCCAGCTGCCGCTCTTTTCGACTTCACGCTGGATTACCGACTCCTCCAACCAGCGCGTCAAGCTCCGCTGTATCAACTGGGCTGGGCACATGGAAGTCAATCTCCCCGAGGGCCTGCACAAGCAGCCCATCGAGTACCTCGCCGACTGGATCAAGCAGGAGGGCTTCAACTGCGTGCGCCTCACCTACTCGACCGATCATGCCCTGAACCCGGGGGTCAGGGTCCGCGACTCCTTTGTCAACGGCTCCAGGGCCGCCGGCGTCTCCGAGGCGGATCTCCTGAGTCTCTACGACCAGGCCGTGCAGAAGAATCCGTTTCTGGCCGGCCCCGACGTGACCCAGCGCGACGTCTTCGAGAGGGTAATTGACGCCCTCTGGGACAGGGGCGTCATGACCATCCTCGACAACCACGTCAGCAGGGCCTCATGGTGCTGCAACCTCGACGACGGCAACGGGTGGTGGAAGGACGCGCGCTTCTACTGGGCTGCCAACTCGCGCTACTTTGACACGGATGAGTGGCTCGCGGGCCTGCGTCAGGTCTCCCTCTGGGCCAAGACTAGGCCGGGGGTCGCAGCCATCTCCCTGAGGAACGAGCTCCGCGCGACCTGGACGCAGATCCCCTTTGCTGCAGGCCAGTGGTACGACTACGTCGCGCGCGGCGCAAAGGCCGTCCACGAGGCGAACCCGGACGTGCTCGTTGTCATCGGCGGCCTCAACTCGGCGACAGACTTCACACCCCTCCGGACGCGGAGCCTCGACACCGCCGCCTGGCAAGGGAAGAACGTGTGGGAGGCGCACAGCTACAGTTTCACGGTCACGACGCCCAACCTTGGAGACTGCAACATCGAGAGGGCAGAGTACGGCGCCCTGTTCGGGTTCGTACTAGAGCAGGGGGTGGGGTACACAGGGCCGCTGTTCATGTCCGAGTTCGGCGTCGCCATGTCGGGCGGGCCGGAGGACGGCCTCTCGGCCGAGGATCACGCGTATCTGACCTGCTTAGTTGGCTACCTCGAGGGGAATGACGCGGACTGGGCGCTCTGGGCGATTCAGGGGACGTACTATGTGCGCAACAAGGTTGTCGATTTCGAAGAGACGTGGGGCGCGATGGATCGCGAGTGGAAGGGGTGGAGAAACCCCGCGTTCAAGGGCATGTTAGGCAATATCTTTGCCGTCACTCAGCGGCCGTAGAGGGGTGTTCGGGTGGAAGAGGATGTGGTTCCATTTGAGCCGTTGGTATTCGAAGCCAAGGAGGTGTATATAAGCATAGGCCCTGTCTCTGGGGGTTGGGATGGTCGTAGTGTACGTTTCTTATACCTAAAGTCAACATGTTTTCTTGAGAGGCTCAAAGCATTAGGCGGGGGTGTATGGATAGTTCTGCCATACCTAACGAGAAGCCACGCTGACCGCGTCCATCGGCCTGCACATGAAACAGGCAGGCGGGAAGACGCTTTGAGCAGTAAGACGAGTGGTAATGTGGTTGATGCAGTTGTGAGTGTGATTGTCTCTGATTGTCTCCATAAGAGGAGATGGAGTATAATATCCGGGTATCACGCGTCTCTACCAATCTCTGATGTGTCTCCCTTTGACGCAGTCTCCGAGGGCCGGCGTCCATCTGCGAGTGACTCCTGGGCCGTAGCTAGGTTGAAAGCTCCACTAAGACGCCTCCTGAGCTTCCTTGATCTCACCGGCCTCCCCGGTCTGTGTTACTTCCATCGATTCCGCTGGCGCAGCATCCACTTCGCCCTCATTTGCTTCCCCTGCCTCTTCGCTTACCTGGGGTTCCTGTGGTGCTCCTGGTTCCTCGGCCGACGCATCATTCATGGCCTCATCTGCTCCTTCGACCGTCTCGCCTTTCGGCTGACCATTCATAAGCTCCACCCCGGCGTTGCCGTAAATGCATCCCTCGAGAGCCTTCAAAGTTGTATCCAAATCTCCATTGGTAAGAACAAAATCGAACCCCTCCTTCAGCTTTGAGTCAGCCTCAAAATAAGGAGTTGCTTTGGCGAGGGCCTCTTGCACAACGACATCGCCTTTTTCTGCCTTCTTGAGGCGTTCCTCCAAGACCTCCGTAGTCGGCGGCAGAACGAGGACGCTCCGTGCTAAATAACCAAGGTCACGCGCCTGCTGAATAGCCTGTGTCTTTGTCAGTAGCATTTCCGTGATGGAAGAACCCGTCACATCTTACCTCGCTATCCATATACATAACTGGGACCTTCCCGCCTTCGGCAACTGCCTCCACCGCCTTGCGACTCGTACCATAGTCTACCTTGTCGATAGTAGTAAATTCCAACAACGCATCGCCGTCCCTCAACATATTGAAGGCTTGTGGCTCCACGAAGTGGAAGTGCTTGCCGTCGACCTCGCCTTCTTGTGGCTTTCTTGTGGTATGCCGGGGTACGCGCGTGAATGCACCTGGACGCCGCTCTGCGAGGAGGTTGAAGAGCGTCGCTTTGCCAGCTCCAGGCGGTCCTGAAACTATGATTGGCCGTTTGTCTTCTGGGATATTGTCGTTGTTCACTGCCTCCTCTGGAGCAACCTCACTTTCGTCTACATCGACTGGCTCTTCGAAAACGGCATCGATCTTTTCTGGGTCATCGATTTTGTCAAAGAGAGCCAATCTCGATTTGCTAGCTATCCGAAGGGCTCGCCAGCTTTTGCTGGCTTTGCTCTCAACCGCAGCGGCCTTGGTTTGGTTGTTTGTTGGCATGTCGATCTCGAAGTCATCGTCGGCGATCTTCCGCTTGAAGCCATCAAGATCTGGCAGGCTGTACCTTTCTTCAGCCTTCAGCTTTTGCATGGCAATTTCGTCATCGCCGTCTTCCAAGAATCCAAGTGGTAGAGAGCCCATCGGCATGGCCCTCAAACGCTTGTTGGTCGTCGAACGTTGGGCGACCATCTTTGCCTCGAGAAACAGCTCTGGAGACACGGCTGGCAGCTCAATCGATGGGCAGTTCTCAGACTTCCAGCGAATCCAATTCTTGTCTCTCGCGAGGACCGTCTCAACCATACGGCTGAAGTACGGGCCATCGACGCCATGTTTAAGATACTTGTCGACAATCGTCCTCTTCATTTCCGAGGCCCACTTGGTCTGTCCATCTGTTAGTCTTGCTGATTGACCTCGTCTGACAGGCAGAATTTCTTACATCTTCTTCGCTCAAGACCTGGCCAAGATAAATCACCGATTTGTTCTGGGCATTACCGGCCAGCTTTTCCTTCGTCTTGCTTGACAGTGATAGGAGGAAGTCCATAATAATTAACGCCTGAACAAGTATGTGTCTGCGGAAAGAGATATCGCTCATCTGCAAATGTAAGTGTCAAGATGATCCCGTAGAGTGTGGCATCACCTACCTCAAGCTCGAAGAGATCACGGCTCGTAAGATATTTGGGGTTATAAGAATTTGCTAGGTCGCTCTCTTCCACATCCTCTCGTTTCCTCTTCAAGTTCCGCTGTGCCTCATCCACTGTCTTGGGTGGTCGCTGACCTTGTTCGTTCTGAATGACCCGGAAAGACGTCAAGGTTGCTTCTAGTCCGCGTTTGAAGCTCGTCAAGTGGGCAGGATCGAACAGTTTTTTGGGCTGGCTGAATGTTTCTTGAAGCGACCAGAACTGCGGATATAGTGCATCGGGATCAAGCGGCTGATCAGCCTGTGCTGGCTTCTTCGCGTCAAACGACACTGCCTTCGTCTGAGACTTTGCGTCGCCTTCCTTGACCTCGTTCTGGCTGTCTACATCCATCTGCTCTGGCGTTGCGTCTGTCTTCGCGCCAACATCGTCGAATACGGTAACATTTTCGACGTGGTATTCTCCACGCAAGTTGACAGAGCTTTTGTCGCCCAAGGGGAAGCTCTGAAACATGAAGATGAAGACCCTGCCGCAGAAGGCTGTATCCTCAGCACGAGATAAGCGTCGTAGCAGCTCGTTGCAGCTGCGCAGAATGACCAACTGCTTCTGTTTGAAGTGTTTGACAGTAATCCTTTCACGCCTTGATTCGAGGAAGTCGAAAATCTTGCGGCACCCGGCGATGGTCTGGCTGTCTAGGAGCTCCTCCACTAACCAGAAAAGCAGAGCCGGGTCGCACTTTTCATCATCGGAGAGAATGGTCAGGAGGTCGAACAGGTTCCAGACCTTGACGAAATTCGGGGATTCGATGGGTGTGGTGGCCTAAAGGTGCGGGTTGTTTATCAGTTGAGGTTCGGCCATGATCGGTGGATTCGACGTACAATCAAGTTGCTGAACATGTTCCGTACGGCAGTCTCAATGGCTGCGAACTGTTGCGCCTTATTCAGTATCGCAACACCGGCTCCATTTTCCTGTTGCGGCGTCGTGAGAACGCATCCAAGTTGTTCGTCCAGGTTGCCGAAGTCTGCCTTTTGTAACGCGGGCTCGATCGTGGGCGCAGACTTGACTTCCATTGAGCGTGACAGGAGGCCGTCGAGAAGTTCGGCAAATGCGACAACTCCAGGCACCTGGTGGCGCGGAGACGTGACGGCGGCCGGCATCTCGGGATTAGTCGAGGTGGTTGCGCTTAGTTAGGTTGAAGCGGGAAGGGCCTGGCCCGATATGCCATGAGCAGGGTGGTGTCGACACAAGGTGGTGCTTCGCTTGCGCTTCGGAATTGAGAGTTCGAGGTTCTTTGAGTGTCAGGTTCGCAATGTTGGTAATGCGGCAGGCCAGAGGTTGAAAGAATCAGCCTACTCAAGCTTCAGGTAAATGGAGATACGTATCGCAGCAAACGGGGGTCCTTGAAGGTGGTCGCCAAGCTAGGCTTATACATAGAGCCCGCTGGCAGGGGTCGACGTGCTACTGAGCTCCAGGGCGTTGCTGGAACACTGAAGTGCCTGTAAGCCGTCCAATAGCGGGCTACCATAGTGGAGAGGGGATGGTCGCGTCGTCGCGTGCGGAAACCTAGAGGCAGAACCTGGATCTGCGATTGCCCGAAATGCAAGGCTGAAATTTTTGTAGGTTCCAAGCTCACAGGATTTCGTCAGTCAACAATTGCGCGCCTGCGCATCGACTCCAGCAAGAGAAACTACACCAGGCCTGCCTTTTCCCCTCCCCAGCATGAGATTGCGAACATTTGCGCCAAAAACCGTCCCGAATTAGAGTGCCCAGCATGCCCACGGCTAAGAGACAGAAGAAGAGCAGCGAGGCTCAAGCTACGCCGTCCACTCGATCCCAAGCCAAGGCTACCGGCGATCGCCCAACCGTTGCCGACATCGAGGGAGAGGGTGCCTTCGCTCAGCTGGCAAAGAAGCACTGGCTCAAGACAACTAGAAGCAAGAGGGCGGTCAAGGTCAAAGTCAAGAACGACGTTTTGAAACAGGAGATCTGGGATGTTTTAGAGCGCGATGGATTTCCGTATAAGTCCATTCTGACCTTGGAAAGTCTGCAAACTCTGGAGAGGTATGCTTGGTTGTCCAATACGAATATTCGACACCCTGCTAACTGGGTTCTCTCGCAGCTACCTTTGGCCTGGCTATACCGACGACTCTTCCAACTACCATGTCTTGCTGGTGGTGTTACTAGTGAATGCGAAGCGGCGCGAGCAACTCGAAGCATGGAGTATATTCGAGGACCGCCCAGACGAGTTTTCGAGTTTGTTTCGTCGAGTTTTGTCCATGACACTCGATCCAACTCTGTCGCACACAATTCGGACACACTTGCTGTCATTCCTGATATCAGCCTTCCAGAGCCTGGACTGTGCGATTGTGAGGAAGGAATGTGCGCCGCTGGTCTCCATTTCGATATGGCACAACCTTTCAACGGAGGAAATGCGCGAGGAGAAGCTTGAACAGCACGCGCATGTGAGAAAGGCCTGGCGAGCTGCAGGAAAGAGATACGATGCTGCCGACGACGCCACAAAGGCAAAGCTGCGGTTTGACCGATCTTGGTTATATACCTTGATCTTGCATTTCCTAAGTCTGATATACACAGAAAATGCCGAACCAGGTAATAAAAACTTCCATTGTACGGAGAGAGCCAACACGTACTGACTTGGGCTAGATCAAGTTCTCTATTGCGAGCGTTTAGTTGAGTTCTTGACGGACTTGCAGAGCCAGCTCCCAACCCGGAGATATGTCAACACTCTCCTGCTCGATCTCAACGTGCTGCCTGCCATGCGTCTATCCCCTATGTTTAATGATGAAGAAAACACTCTCCTGCGCGATCTGAATGCGCTTCTGCGGCACTACACATTCTTCACGATCGACGATCAGACGGGCGCACAGCTGAGCCGTACTGAAGCGTACGACAGACATTGTGCGAACCTGTCAAGGCTCCAGAAGACGTCACTGAAACACTTTAAGGACAAGCTTACAGTCCTGGCGCTGTCAAATTACGGTTCCATTGACAAGCGGGACGAGCTCTCTGGGCTGTTGGAGCCCCTTACCGACGAGGAGATTGTGAAGCTGGCGACACTACTTCGTCTTCGAACAGCGTATCCTGAATCTGTAGGTGTGAGAATTGACAGGAAGTTTGTCATCGAGACGCTGCTCTCCACCTTTGAACGGCGGAAAACATTCCAGGAGGTGGCTCGCGACATGAGTCTGGTCCCTACTGAGCAATCCTTGTTCGAGAATAATGTTATGAGGACAGACAACTACGATGGATCGCATCCATTAGCATTGCCAAAGCTGAATTTACAGTATCTGTCTGTCGGAGACTTTCTGTGGAGATCTCTTGTCTTGTACCGGGCGGAGGCTTTCTACGGTATCAGGAAAGACGTGGAATTGGCCATCCGACGTCTTCGGCCGGAGAGTCGTAGGCCCGGAGAGACAGCTTTCCAGGGCTTCTCCAAGATGGCGTTGCCAACCTCGAAGCCTTCGATTCTCGAAGTTGCCCCTCCGCGTGTTGGAGATGACAAGCCATCTTTGGTTCGAGCAGAGATCTCCATAGACGTTCGCCGCTTGAACGATGGCATCAGGCGCGAATGGGACTCGCTGAGACCAGACGACGTTGTCTTCCTCCTGTCCATCCAGGCACCGGCCGTCAACAGTATCACTAACGGAGATGGCGCACATTCGGAAGCTGAGAAGCTTGGTATCGTGTCCATTCGATCTGCTGAGATTATTCAGATTACAGACGATAAGGGCAAAGTGGTTCGCGATGGTTCAGGTCACTACGACAGTCGTCGGCGGTTTCAGTTGAGGCTAGACCCCAGGACCTATGCTGCGGATGTCGAGCGCTCATCTTCAACCCCCCCGGAAGCTTACGAGCGGATCAATGTTGTCATGCGCCGCAGCGGGAGGGAGAACAACTTCAAGCCTGTTTTGGAGTCTATCCGCAGCCTATCGCTCTCCGAAGTGCCAATTGCTTCATGGTTCCACGAAGTTTTCCTCGGCTATGGTGACCCTGCCGGCGCAACCTACAAGCAACTGCCGAACCGAATCAAGTCAATCGACTATCGCGACACCTTCCTGGACTGGCAACATCTTACGGGAAGCTTGCCTGGCAAGGTTGTTGAACCTAGAGATGACGTTTCTGGCAGCTTTGGTCCGCCTTACGTACTGGAGACCGCCGAACGACAAGCCGTTGAGCCACCATCAAAGCCTTCCAAGAAGCGCCGCCGAGGCGTCGAGCCTGCTCTCCTGGCTGATGTCGAGACCGTAAAGGTATCGACCTATAAGCCACCGAATGCAGGCCCGTACCCCGTCGACGCGCCAAAGCTGAATAAGGTACGCTTCACTCCAGCGCAGATCGAGGCAATTACATCGGGAACGCAGCCAGGACTCACTGTTATCGTGGGACCTCCCGGAACGGGCAAGACGGATGTCGCAACTCAGATCATCAACAATATCTACCACAATTTCCCTGAGCAAAAGACGCTCCTGATAGCGCACAGCAATCAAGCGCTGAACCAGTTGTTTGCGAAGATTGTAGCTCTGGACATCGACGCGCGCCATCTTCTTCGTCTTGGACATGGCGAAGAGGAGTTGTACACTGAAGGAAGTTTCAGCAAGCATGGTCGCGTGGAATCGTTCCTGGAAAACCGGGATCGATACCTGCATGAGGTGAACCGCCTGGCCGCCAGCATTGGCGCGCCAGGTGCGCACGGCAACTCTGCGGAGACGGCTGGCTACTTCAACTCTGTCTATATCGAGCCAGCCTGGACGAAGTTTACGGAAATCACCAAGGCAGAGGATACCACGGCTACTGATGTTGTCGGAGCGTTCCCCTTCCACCAGTTCTTCTCAGATGCGCCGCAGCCACTATTCCCGCCCGAGGCAGATAAGGACACTGTGCTGGATATCGCCAACGGATGCTACCGGCATATTGCGAAGATCTTCTCTGAATTGGCCGACGCGATGCCGTTTGAGATCTTGCGCCGGGACAAGGACAAAGCCAACTATCTGTTGACCAACGAAGCACGCATCATTGCCATGACGTCCACTCATGCGGCAATGAGACGCGGGGAGATTGCATCGCTTGGGTTTCACTACGACAACGTGGTCATGGAGGAAGCTGCTCAAATCACCGAGATCGAGAACTTCATCCCCTTGGCCATGCAAAAGCCGCAGAAGGGGCAGATGGGTCTGCAAAGAGTCGTGCTCTGTGGCGATCACTTCCAGAACTCTCCAGTCATCCAGAGCATGGCATTCCGCCATTACGCAAACCTTGAACAGTCGCTTTTCTCACGACTTGTTCGTCTCGGCGTCCCAACCATCAACCTCGACCAGCAAGGCAGAGCCCGCCCGTCCATCGCCAGCCTTTATCAGTGGCGGTACCCCAAGCTAGGCAACTTGCCGCACGTTGAGGCCGAAGGTGAATACCTCGCCGCAAACGCAGGCTTCAAGTACGACTATCAGTTCATCAGCGTGCCTGACTATAAGGGACGCGGAGAGACAGAACCCACCCCTCACTTCATTCAGAATCTCGGAGAAGCCGAATACGCAGTGGCCGTATACCAGTACATGCGACTGCTGGGTTACCCGGCTTCGAAAATTAGCATATTGACAACTTACGCTGGCCAGCGAGCCCTTGTGAAGGACGTCTTGGCTCATAGATGTGCTAACAAGGCGGTTTTCGGAATGCCCAAGATTGTGACAACCGTGGACAAGTATCAGGGCGAACAAAATGATTGTAAGTGTCACACCGGCCGAGAAAAATGGTTATGGCCAGGCTAACCAACGCTCTAGACATCATTTTGTCGTTGACTCGCACATCAAGGGTCGGATATCTACGTGATATTCGTCGCATGACGGTTGCGCTCTCTCGTGCTCGTCTCGGATTGTACATCCTCGGCCGTCGCGAGATCTTTGAGGCATGCTACGAGCTGCGACAAGCGTTCGAGCTGCTCCTGTCCCGCCCCGATAAACTTATGCTTGTCACCGGCGAGCTCTACCCTACGGAAAGACTTCTGACTGGCGACGTCAATGCAGAAGTGCCAGGAGAGGCGTGCATGGAGGGAGTGGAGCATCTGGGGCAGTACGTATTCGAGATGACCAAGACCAAGGTCAACCAGTTGCAAGCGGAGAGCGCGATACCCGACCATGGTGAGATG